GGAGTAGCATTATGATAACTTGAGATAATTTGCTCTATCTGTGCAAACTATCTTCCCTCTCAAATTGATTTAAAAATCTCTTAGGATTAGTACAGTATTCTCTACTCAAAAGCTGCTAGGAGAGTAAATCTTTTTGTTTCAAAATTAAGAACTTTTTCATCCCTCATTGGTGGGGCTCAGCGGGCTGAGTGCAAGCCTGCAAAGCAAAGGGTCACCGGTTCAATTCCCAGTCAGGGCACAGGCCTGGGTTGCGGGCCAGGTCCCCAGTAGGGGGCACGTGAGAGGCAACCACACCTCAATGTTTTGCTCCCTCTCTTCCTCCCTTCCTCTCTCTCTAAAAATAAATAAATAAAATCTCTTTTAAATTTTTAAAAAATAAAACAAGAACTCTTTCAGATTTTTTAAAGATTTAATTAATTTATTTTGAAGAGAGGGCAGAGGAGAGGGAGGGAGAGAAATATCAATGTGAGAAACACATCAGTTGCCTCTCACATGCACCCTTGCTAGGGACCAAACCCACAACACAGGCATGCGCTCTGACCAGGAATCGAACCAGTGGCCTTCTGATTTGCAGAATGATGCCCAACAAACTGAGCCACACTGGTCAGGGCTCTTTTGGATTTAAATGGTAATTGTTTGAGGTGATGGAGGTGTCAGCTAGTGCTTGGTGGTCATCGTAATGCGATATTAACTGTATCAAATCAACTGGTTGGACACCTTAAACTTATACATTGGTATACAGAGATGGTAAAAATAGGTTTACAGTTATAATAAAATCATTAATAGATTATTCCGAATACAAGAATCAGCTGTGTTTCATGTACTCACAACTGTAAACCTGGTTTTACCCCCCTCTATATACCTCAGGTTTTAGGTATATACCTCAGGTATATAATTATACCTCAATAAAACTGGAAAAGAATAAGTGTTCCCAAGTTTAAAAATAGCAGCTTTGGTGAATATAAAAATCATTCGTATTTCTATCATTAAAGCTGTAAGTAACCTGTGAACCCTCTCTGACCCAGAAATTTCACTTCTTAAAAATTCAGTACTTGGGCACATGGGAATGAGGAGACAGATACAAAGATGTTCAAAACAGCGTGGTTCACCTTAGGAGAGACTGAGAAACAAAGCCAGTCGCTGGTGGAATGCATATGCTGTGATATATTCATACATTTACATCCTGTAAGGCAGGAACGAAATAAATGAATTTTATTGTAAAATGTATTTTAAAACACATTTAACACAAACACATTTAACACTGATACATTCTGAAGAACATAACAGTATGCAAAAGAAACAAGTCGTAGAAGGATCTCTTCACTATAATTCAAAACCAGGGAAAATGAAACACATTTCTTAGAAGAACATCTATAAGTGGGGGAAAAAAAAGTTGAAAGTTGTGGGGAATAATTAACACAAAATTCACTTGGCAAATACGGATGGTGGAGAGGGCCAATAGCTGGGACTGGGGAGGCAGAGTCTACAAAGAAGCTTATAATGTCTATTTCTTTATTTTTATTTTTATTTTAAAAATATTTTATTCATTTATTTTTAGAGAGGGAAAGGGAGGATAAAAAAGAGAGAAACATCAATGTGTGGTGGCCTCTCACGTGCCCCCCACTGGGGACCTGGCCCGTAACCCAGGCCTGTGCCCTGACTGGGAATTCACAACCCTTTGGTTTGTAAGCCAGCACTCAATGCACTGAGCCACACCGGCCAGGGCTCTATTTCTTTTTAAAATTAAACTTGTTGAGGTGACATTGGTTAACAAGATTTTATAGGTTTCAGGCATACAGTTCTATAATACATCCTCTGTACATTGTGTTGTGTGTTTACCACCCAAAGTCTAGTTTCCTTCCGTCACCATGTAGTTGACATCTGCTCTACAATGTCTTTTTCTTTAATCCTCACCCGAGGACACGTTTGGTGATCTGACGGGGGGAGGGGGCGGGGGGAGGAGAGAGAATGAGAGACATCAATGTGAGACAGAAACATCGACTGGCTGATTCCTGTACCTGCCCTGACCAGGGATCGAACCTGCAACCGTTTGGCGCACGAGAAGACGCTCCAACCAGCTGAGCCACCCGGCCAACGCCAACGTCTATTTCTTACTCTAGGTTCTGCGCCAGAGAGATTCGTGTTACGACTGTGGTTATTCCTTAAGTTTTCCATTGTGTCGTCCGCATTTCTTTATATGCCTGCTTCACAACCTCCCCCACAGAATAGTCCTTGATTCATAGGATTCCTGTAAAGAGAGAGAACAGATTTCCAATAGGGCCAGGATAGTTTCTGGCACATTGGAGTTCTCACAGAAGTTCAGAGATGACTGCGGTGAGTGGGGAACCCCAGGGCAGAGTGAAAACCACGCTGAAACACTCGAGCCCTGCTGCCGGACGCACGCCCCTCGGCATCGGCCGACAGACCCAGGGTTCCGCTCCCGAGCTGCAGAAGAACGTTCCCGGCACAACAGCACTTCAGATGCTAGAGGGAGTCCATCATCTGGGTGAATTTCGTAATGGTTAGGGTGATCAATGATGTGGGCTGTGCAAGAATTCACAAAGAGAAGAAAATGTAAAGAATCAAGTTTTTCTTCACTTTCCAAGAAAGGAGAGAGGTGTGGTGTGGAGAGATCCACCAGCACTGAGGGGTGGGGCTTTGAGCTGTTCTGGGATCGTAATTGGATTAAAAAAGGGCGGGGGGTGCTGTTGTGTGGCCTCTGGGCCTGAGGGCATTGTAACACGAGGTTGCCGTTTGTTCCAATGGTATCTCCTGCCTGTGGCTGTCGGAAGCGGTTAGTTCGGTTCTTGCTTCCCAATAATTTCCCATCCTGTCCACAGACGCTCAGAAGAGTAACACGGCAGTCGCGTTTAACAAGGTCACAGGCCTGCGAGGCAAATGGTGCCACAAGAGCAAATGGGGCCGACTTTTTCCTTTCCATATTCATTTAGACCAAGAAGAGAGTCAGCACCACTCCCCCCATTAGCCAGTCTGGTGAGCCGGGAGGGACTTGCAGCAAGGAGCCCTGGGAAGATCCGAAATCGGAATCTCAGTCTGAAATACCTACCCAGGGAGGACTCCGGGGCTGGAGAGCTAGGCCACACCCAAGGTGGGAACATTTTTAAAAACAAAAAAGAGGAATTTGTTTCATCTCTTCTTGGGCCTTGTCATCAAGAGCCCTCTTGAGCCAATGAGAGGGGAGCGATTCATTGGCCAATCATGTGGCCCCGAAGCCTATTTCTTCCCAGTTCCAGCCGCCACTCATTAAGGACCCACCAGGAAGAGCTGGATCGGTGAGTCAGCAGGTCCTGCCCCTCGGTCTCTCTTTTATCTCTTTTATTTCCTTTGACACTCGGTATTCATTTTCTCCCCTTTGTCCTGCCTCCTTTCCTGACCTCCCAGACAGACGTCCTTGTGTCCTTCCCCCTGGCCCTGGATTTTGACTTTTTAACACGTTACGTGTCGGTTAAAAGACTACAGCTGCGATGGTGTTCACCGTCTGGGCCTTAGGATGCGCTGTTGTGGTACTGCGAGCTCCGCCCTGGCCGGGTGGCTCAGTCGGTTAGAGCGTCCTCCCGATAGGCCAAGGTTGTGAGTTCAGTTCTGGTCTGAGCAACATACAAGAATTAATGAATGCATAAAGAAGTAGAACAACAATTCAATCTCTCTCTCTCTTTCTCTCTTTCCCTCTCTCCTCCGTCCAACGCTGGTCCAGATAGGCTGCTCCCTACTCCACTTAGCTGGCTTTTTTCTACTCTAAACAGGTAGACCAGATGAATTGTGTGTGATTGTAAATTCCTTATCAGCTCAAAGGGTGGGGTGTCTCAAATACCCAGGGAGAAAGTAATGGACAAAAGGAATCAGGAGGATGGGAGAACTTGGAGCTTAGGGATGAGTATTTTTTTAAAATTAGATTCCTACCTGTTGAGACCAACAGAACAACACAGAAATAAGGTCCAGAGACAACGCCCCACGGATATTAGGTTTAACCCCTTTGGCTACCTTAAGCTTGTTGTCAGACCTCAGACAGGAAGATCTCTGATAACTATAATTCTAGGGAGTGATCAATGAAAACTGTGCTTAGTTTTGTAACACTGATTCAGACTAGGAAATAAATGTACACAGAGAGAGTATCTCTCCCTGTCAATGAATTGGACTTTACAGTTCACTATGGGGCGAGTTGTGTCCACCTTAAAAAACACACACGAAAGGCCTAACTCTCAGCAACTCAGAAAGTGACCTTGTTTGGCAATAAATAAGGTCACTGTCGATGCAATCAGGTAAGACGAGGCCCTGCTGCAGCTGGGGGCGCCGTAATTCAGGACGACTGGCGTTCTTACAAGAAGAAAGCCACCTGAGGGAGGAGACACAGGAAAATGGGGGGGTTGGAGGCAAGATTGGAGTTATTCAGCTCCGAGCCAAGAAATGCCAGCCAACCACCAGAAACTGGAAAGGGTCAAGCAAGGGCTCAGCGTTCAGGGGCACCTTTATCTTCGGACTTCTAGCCTCTCGTACCGCAAGACAACAAATTTCTGCTGCTTTAAGCCACTCCGTTTTGATACCGCCCAAAGGAACTGCTAGGCTAGTCCCTGTCCCCATTTAAAAAATTTAGTTTTATTTTTCATTGAACTTATTGGGGCGATATTAGTTAATAAAATATAGGTGTCAGGCGTACAATTCTGTACTCTATCCACTTGGATACTTTGCATTATGTGTCTCCACCAGGCATCCGCAGAATTGGGGCTAGAGGTAGTTTGCGGGGGGATTATTTCTTCTTCATCCTGAACTTTATTTCCGATGTCCTTGTTCAATGAGAGGTGAGAACAGAGGAGTCTGGTCTGAAAAACTTCCTGCCCTCAAAATTAGTAAGGCACTGAACTACCTCAGTCGACTGGTGTTCACGTCGTGTGGTTGTGCTCTGAACTTTGCCCAGGTCTCATTTATTCTTCGTTCCTGGCCATTCTCTCTCTCTGAAGACCGTCACCTCTGTCCTGGTCACGATGGCCTCATCTTTCTTTCCTGAGTTTGGCCTCATGTGGTACCTGGAGGAGCTCAGGAAGGACGAGTTCAGAAAATTTAAGGAGCTCCTCAAGCAAACGCCTGTGCAGCTTGGACTCCAGCAGATGCCCTGGGCCGATGTGAAGAAAATGGCAAGGGAAGACCTGGCGAACCTACTGGTCAAGCATTATGGGGAAGAGCAAGCCTGGGCCATGACCTTCCTCATCTTTCAGAAGATCAACAGGCAGGATCTCTGCGAAAAGGCCAAGAAGGAGATTACCGGTGAGGGGCTCTGGGGTCGGGGGATGGGGACAGGGCTTCTTCTCCTGAGGCTCATGACCCCGTTTTGATCAGTGGTCTCCATCTGCCATCTCCATCCTCACGGCAGGGCGAGAACGCACTAGGGGACAGAGTTCTCCCTGTAGAGAGAAGACAGTGATTCCATGTGGTAGATGTGGGTGGGGACCATGTCTTAGTCTGGATTGCGGGTCTGGGCTGCCAATCAGTTGTCCTTGCATCCAAGCCAGAAACTCTAAGGTGAAGTTTTTATTATTATTGCTATTATTACTTTAATCCTCACCTGAGGATATGTTTGTATTGCTTTTAGAGAGAGAGGAAGGAAGGAAGGAAAGAAGGAAGCCAGCCAGCCAGCCAGCTCTGGCTGGTGTGGCTCAGTGAATTGAGTGCCTGCCTACAAACCAAAAGGTCGCCGGTTCAATTGCCAGTCAGGGCACGTGCCTGGGTTGTGAGCCAAGTCCCCAGTAGGGGACGTGTGAGGGGCAACCACACATAGATGTTTCTCACCCTCTCTTTCTTGTTCCCTTCCCCTCTCTCTGAAAATAATTAATTAATTAATTAATTAAAAATATTTAAAGGAAAGAAAGAAATCAATTGGTTGCTTCTTGCACATGCCCCAGCTGGGGATCAAACCTGCAACCTTTTGGTGGGCAGGACAGTGCTCCAACCAACTGAGCCACCTGGTCAGGGCTCTAAGTGAAGCTGTGTCACAGGAACTATGGACTTAATGGTTCAGCAAAAATAACAAGTAACATCTTTTGTAGATGATGCCCTGAACTGAGATTAACGGGTGTTAACTGTGTATGTATTCAAAGAGGCCACACATTTTCATGTATGCATATATTTTAATATTTAACAAGCAAACATTCATGTCAGAGAAGCAATGACCTATAGCAATATAGTCTTAAGGACCAGTTTTGTTTTGTTTTTAGGGAAAATTGTCTTTTGTTCAGAACTCTATCAAGAGTCATTGGCCATTTACAACATAATAGCCCCAATAGCAACAGTTGTCATGATCTCCGAGTTGCCATGACAACCATCAGCATTTGTATATGTCATATTCACAAACAATGCAGGTTCTCAGCCGCTTCATTATGTTCTCACAGTAGCCCCAGAGTAGCATTAAAATATTGGAATATTTACCATTTTATTATAATTACAGTTAGGACATTATGTTGACTTTAATTTAAGTAGTCGCATGCAATACAATTGTTTCAGGTGTACAATATAGTGACTCAACATTTATACGCCTCACAGTAACCAACTTCCATCATGCAAGGTTATCACAGTTACTGACTAGATTCTCTTTCACCTTTTTTACCCATCCTTCCAACCCCCACCCCTCTGGAATCATCCATCTGTTCTTTGTTTCCATGAGTCTATTTTTGTTTTGTTTGATCATTTGTTGGGGTTTTTTGGAGTCTGTATAAGTGAAGCTATAGGGTATTTGCCTTTCTCTGACTTTTTTCAGAGTATAATACCCTAGGTCCATCTACCCATGTTGTTACAAATGATAAGATTTTTTTTATGGCTGAGTAATGGTCCATTGTATACACATACCACATCTTCTTTATCCAATCATCTGTTGAGGGGCCCGCTATCATTTCTACAACATCTAATTTCCCCATGTCATGTCCTTCAGATAAATTCCATACCCAGAGAACCACTCTCTGTATCTAAATTCCTTGCAGGCATAAACAGGTACATAGTAGAGATACTGTCTTGTTTGTTTGTTATTTCATACAGAAATCATTCCATACTTTTACTACCTGTGTAATATTCCATAAATAATTGAGCTGGCCTTCTAGCCATGGTTAGAAGCGATTCTCTAGTGTGTGTTGTATAGTAGCAACAATGAACAGACACGTGTGTGTGCGCACGCGCGTGTGTCTAAGAGCAAGATTCGTCAGACTCTAGTGGCCCGTATCTCCATCACGACTGCTCGTCTTTGCCATTGTAGTGGCTCAGCAGCTGTAGACAACATGTAAACAAAGAGCATGACTGGGTCCCAGTGAAATTTTATTTACAAAACAGACTGTTGACCAGCTTTGGCCTGTGGGCCACAGTTGGCAGGTCCCCGAGCAGACGCATTGAGAAGAAAAGTGTCAGGGACAAAGCCAACATCTCTCTGAGCATTCTAATTCAAACATGCTGTGTCGTGTTTTGTTTTCTTGTGTTTACCGACTCAGGACACACGAAGGTGTATCGCGCTCACGTCAAGGAGAAATTCACCAAGATGTGGTTCAGAGACTCTGTCACCAGGATTTATGATCACTTTGAGAAGAAACTCGCCCCCAAAGAACGCGAGTATCTGGAGTCTCTTTTTGCTCCCAAGGAAACCGGGAAACGGACGGTGGTCCTTAGAGGAGTCCAGGGGGTCGGGAAGACAACAGTCCTGGTGAAGCTGATGTTGGCCTGGGCAGAGGGCACTGTCTACCAGGACAAGTTCTCCTACATCTTCTACTTCTGCTGCCGGGAAGTGAAGCAGATGACAGCAACCAGCTTGGCTGCGCTGATTTGTAGAGACTGGTCCCACTCCCTCTCCCCAGTCGCGGAGATCACATCTGAACCAGAGAGACTCTTGTTCATCATCGATGGCTGTGAAGAACTGCAGTGCAACCTGAATGAACCTGAGGCGGATCTATGCAGCGACTGGATGGCGGAGCGGCCTGGCCACGTGATCCTGAGCAGCTTGCTGAGAAAGAAAATGCTTCCCGAGTCCTCGCTGCTCATTGCCGCTGCGCCCACGTACCTGAAGAGAATCGAGGGCAGGCTGGAGCAGCCTGAGATCAAAACACTTGGGGGGTTCCGCGAGAGTGAGAGGAAGCTGTATTTCTGCTGCTTATTCCAAGACAGGAGTAGAGGCATTGAAGCCTTCGGTTTTGTTAGAGACAACGAACAACTCTTTTCCATGTGTGAAATCCCCATTCTTTGCTGGGTTGTGTGCACTTGTCTAAAGCAGGAGACAGAAAGAGGGCAAGATCTGGCCCTGACGTGCCGACGGACCACCTCCCTTTATTCCTCTTTTGTCTTGAACCTGTTCACCCCCAAGGGGGCCAGTCGTCCAGACAGGCAAAGCCAAGGCCAGCTGCTGGGCTTATGCTCCCTGGCTGCCGAGGGCATGTGGACTGACACATTTATATTCAGTGAAGAGGATCTCAGGAGAAATGGGTTAGTTGATTCTGATATCCCTGCATTGCTGGACGCCAAGGCTCTTCACAGGCACAGGGACACTGAGAACTCGTACACCTTCCTCCACATGAGCATCCAGGAGTTCTGTGCCACCCTGTTCTATTTCATGAAGAGTCACGCCGACCATCCTAACCCAGCTGTGGCAAGTACAGAGACACTGGTATCGACCTATTTAAAGAAAGTAAAGATCCACTGGGTTTTTCTGGGGTGTTTCATGTTTGGCCTTTTAAATGAAAGAGAACAACAGAAGCTGGAGGCATTTTTTGGCCCTCACCTGCGCCAGCAGGAGATACAGCAGACGTTTCGGCAGTACTTGCTGAGCGTGAGTGAGAGCGAACACCTCCAGGGACAGGTAGATTTCTTGGCGTTATGTTACTGTCTGTTCGAGATGGAGAATGAAGTTTTTACAGAGTGGGCAGTGAACCTCTTCCAAGACGTGCACTTTGTTATCAATGACAAGTTGGACTTGGTGGCTGCTGCCTATGGCTTAAAACACTGTTCTGCCTTGAAGACACTTTGTTTTTCCATCCAAAACGTCCCTTTAGAAGAGGGCGCAGACACCGCCACGTGAGTCCATTCAATGATTTCCTTTCTGTCGCCTTTTCGGCATCTGTCCCTGTTCCCAGGTGGGTTTTGCTAATCAAGTTTTTCATAGAGGATCAGGATTGGGACCTCACCTTTTCTGTCAAACAGACCTCAGCTCCCATCCTGGCTGGGCTTCTTATGAAATATGTGACCTTGTTTGTGGGGTCTTCTCTATTTGTTGAAATTGCCTCATTGCAGTAATGTGAACTACCACCTGTGAGGTGCTGTGAAGATTAAGATAAGACCCTCTATGAAATGTGCTTCCTATTCTCAAATATTTACTGATAGGCACCTAAATTGGTATCTGCCTCATTTCCATAGGACCACGCTCACAATTTCTTGACCTCCCAGCTAAAAACTACCTTTTAAAATGTATTCTGAAAAATGTAATGCATTTTAACTCACCTTCATACTCCCAACAATCTTATGAGAGCGATTCTTTTACTATCATGTTACAAGTGAGGACACTGAGGCAAAGAGATCTTGGAAGCTGCCAAGTGAGGAAGTGGTAGAGGTTTGGGCCTAGATGACCTGCTTGAGACACCTTAGCTTTCCCTATAAAACTGCCCAAAGATAAGGCTAAGTGCCTCCCCCTGATACTATTGACACTTGGGGTAGACAATTGTTGGCAGGGCAGGGGCACTATGTGCATTCTGCTGGCAGCACCCCTAGTTTCTACCCACTAGATGCCAGAGTTGCCCTCCCCAAGTGGTAGCAACCAAAAATGTCCCCAGATATTGCCCAATGTCCCCAGGGTGAAGGGACAATGTTGCCTCTGGTTGAGAATCATGAATAGAAGGTGACTAAGGGTGAGTCTGATCCGAGTCAGCTGTCCCGTGTTCAGGGAGATAGTGCTTGAGACTTATATGTTAGGAATGGCTTGGGTTGGCTGTTCACTTGTGGCTCAGGTTGAATGCTTGCCTGTGGCTTGGGTTGACGGCTCGCCTGTGGCCTGGGTTGACCATTCCCATGGGCATCTTCCCATGGCAAACATTCCCATTCTCCTTCCGTACAGGTCAAGTAACCCCTTAGTTTGTTGGCATCACATCTGCTCCTTGCTCGTTACAAATGAGAACCTCAGGAAACTTCAAGTGAGTGACAGTAACCTCCAGGAGTCGGCCTTCATAACTCTGAGCAGTCATTTGAAGCATCCCTGGTGTCGCCTTCAAAAACTGCTGTAAGTCGGAGGCCCGCCCGAACCCCAGGGGCGGTGGGGATAAATGGGAAAGGCAGAGAACCGCAGGCTACCTTTCCCATACTCACCAGGTTCAAGTGAGCTTCTCGGGGCCACAAAGCTCACAGAGGGCAGAGCGGGGATCTGGGCTCGGAGTTGATTGATCACAGAGCTTCTGCTGGTGGCCACTGCACCTGCTCCTTCCTAAATGCTTCGGGGGCACCGCGTCGATCGATATTGGAGGGCCAGTTGGGTGTCTGGCTTTGTACTAAATCCCAAGAAATAAACGGGGCTTGGAGTTACGGTCTTGACCTCAAGGAACATGTGGTCAAGGGTAGCCTGGGTAGTTTTTTTTTAATCCTCACCTGAGAATATGTTTTTTATTGATTTTAGAGGGTTGGGGGAAGAGAGAGAGAGAGAGAGAGAAACATTGATGTGAGCGAGAAACATTGATTGGTTGCCTCCTCCATGTAACCTATACCAGGAGTCGAACCTGCAGCCTAGGTGTGTGCCCTGACTGGGAATCAAACCCACAACCTTTTGGTGCATGAGATAACACTCCAACCAATTGAGCCACCCAGTCAGGGCAGGACTTCTTGATGTTGCCTGGATGTTAAAATCATACACGGACCTTTTATTCATTTTATTTTATTTTTTATTTATTTTTTTATTATTATTTTTAGAGAGTGAGAGAAGCAGTGATTTTTTTTTTTCATTTATTCATACATTCATTGGTAGATTCTTGTATGTGCCCTGACCGGGGATTGAACCTACAACCTTGGCTTATTGGGATGATGCTCAAACCAACTGAGCTACCTGGCCTGAGCCACAAAGATCTTTCTAAAAAGTTCTACATCTGGCTGTTGTGGCCCAGTGGGTCGGGCACCAGACTGTGAACCAAAAGGTCACTGGTCTGGTTCCCAATGAGGGCACATGCCTGGGTTGCAGACTAGGTCCCCATTTAGGGGTGTGCAAGAGGCAACCTATGGATGTCTCTCTCCCACATCGATGTTTCTCTCCCTCTCATTCTCCCTCCTTTCTCTTCTTTCTAAAAAAGAAATTTGTTCAATCTTCAGGCCCAGGTCAAGCCCCTACATCAATTTGTCGGAATATCCCACTTGATCTCAATGTCAGTCAAGGTAGATAACTAATGGCTTAAAGGAACACTCCCCCCACCCAAACAGTCAGTAACACCTTTACTGAACCAATACATGAGGAAAAAAAAGAGAACTTTGTGTTCATTCCCTTAAACTTGAGAGCGTGTAACCCTGGATAGTACGATGGGTCACAGGGAGAAAATCAAAGACAGATGCATCTTCTTAGGTTTTGTTGAATGAAACCTAATCTGAAATTTTCTTCATTTCTACAGGATGAATAATGTTACCTTCTCTGGTAATAGCTGGCTTTTCTTCGAGGTGCTCACTCATAGCCCAGATTTGAAACACCTGGACCTCAGCGGCACAAGTCTCTCCCGCGACGACGTGGCACTGCTCTGTAGCGCCTTGACCAACTCAGCGTGCAACATAGAGAGGTTACTGTGAGTCTCTGGGCTCTCCCACCTCACTGATTCGATTTCAGAAGGGACCATGCATTTTTTTAATTGTCTACTTTCATCTTCTTTTCTATTCTTCACATGCAACCTTAATCTCCTGTGAACTTGAGAACTGAAGGTAGGAGTTAAAGTTTCTAAATCGGTACAACCACTTGGGAAAACAATTTGCCTCGATCCAGCTTTCATAGGTCCTGGCATTCCGTATAACCTAGAAATTCTACATTGAGGTGTACGTCCAACAGAGCTGCATGAATAAGTTTGCTTTAAAACAGGTCCTAAACCAGCATGACAAGTAGTTGTATTACCTGAAAAAATGGTAATACCCCCTAGCAGTAAGTTAGAGAAGAGATCTGTGGTTATAGATTTACTTTTTTAGAATGAATGATTCACAATTATAGCAACAATTTGTTTTCTTATAACCGAAGGTCTTCGGATGACAATGGTTAACAAAATTATACAGGTGTCAGGTGCAAAATTCTAGAACATGTCCTCTGTACACTGTATTGTGTGTTCACCACCTCAAATCAAGTCCCTGTTCATCACTGTTTAGACCCCCGATACCCCCCTCCACCCCCCGTCCCTCGCCTCCCCCAGCGATCACCGCTCTGTTGTCCATGCCCCTGAGTTTTTTCTTTTTTGTTTTTGCGCATCCCTCCACCCCCTCAGCAACACCCCCTCCACAGCTGTCAGCCTGTTCTCTGTGAATCTGTCTCTATTTTGCTTGTTAATTCTTTTTGTTCATTAAATTCCACACAGAAGTAAGATCATATGGTATTTGTCTTTCTCTGGCTGGCTTATTTCGCTGAACATAATGCTCTCCAGGTCCATGTATGTCTGGCAACAATTTGAATGAACCTCACAGACCCCCATCGGTGGGAATGAGCCAAACTTAAGAGTAAACATATCATAGTATTTCATTTACAGGAAGTTCAGAGACGGGCAGGGCTATGGGGTCAGAGGTGAGGATTGCAAGGGGATGTAACAGGCGGGATCTGTTCCTGGACAGAGTCCAACACAGGTGTGTCCAATTCATGACCATTCAGGGTGAACAAGTACAAAACATCCCAAATGGGGTAGAGCAGATGGAGGGAAGGAGTTTGGGAAACAGCAAACATGAATGAACACCGTGAAGAACTCACCTGATACAGGTCAAGCAACTCACCGTGGCGAGTGTGGCCAACGCACACGGGTTTAGAAAGAGGCAGGAGCCCTATAGATCACACGGTGTACTTTGGGCTTTCCACTCAGGAAGTTTAACCTGTGTACAGACAATGACTTGGTGTGTACCTGCCTGAAGTCTGGAGACAGATGCATGGGAATCAGGGAGGGTCTTTTGAGCAGAACAAATATGGGCTTCCTGACTCGTATAGGATTAGCAAGAGGTGTAAATCTGGGACGTAGAATCCGATGACGCCCTAGCTGGTGTGGCTCAGTGGATTGAGCGCCAGCCTGTGGACCAAAGGGTTGCTGGTTCGATTCCCCGTGTAGGGCCCATGCCTGGGTTGCAGGGCAGGTCCCCAGCAGGGGACGCGTGAAATGCAAACACACATTGATGTTCCTCTCCCTCTCTTTCTCTTTCTCTTCCCCTCTCTAAAAATAAATAAATAAAATCTATAAATAAATAAATAAAACCTAAAAAAAAAAAAAGAATCCAATGACTGTGACGTCTTCTGTTCCCCACAGGCTGGCCAACTGTGGCCTCCTACCCGAGGACTGTGAAGGCTTCAGATGTGTCCTGCAGGAGAACAAGAAGCTGAGGCTTCTTAACCTATCCTGCAACTACCTGGACACAGGGCTGTCCCTGTTGTGTGAAGGCTTGTGCCACCCAACCTGTGTCCTGGAGGCCTTGCTGTAAGTGACCATTGGGAAGGTCCACTGTGGAGGGAGGGCCGTGGGGGCCGCGAGTTTGAACTCGGGCCCATTGACCAGAATCTATCCAGTGAGGGCAGCCTCACTAGCTTGCAACCCCTGCTCTGTACTTTGCACGTTTAATTTTCCCAAAGTAAATGTGCACCCTTTTGAAAGCCACAAACTAGTATGATATCGTGTTAAGTGAAATGAGTCAGGCAGAGGAAGATAAATGCCAGACAATTTCACTTATATGTGGAATCTAAAAAATAATCGAGCAGAACATAAATAGACTCATAGACACAGGGAACAGACTGATGGTTGTCAGATGAGGGGGGGGTTGGGGGACTGGCTGAAAAGGTGAAGGGATTAAGAATACAAGTTCGTGCCCTGGCCAGGTGGCTCAGCGGGTTACAGTGTCATCCCATGCACCAAAGGACTGTGGGTTTGATTCCTGGTCAGGGCACAGGTCTCTCTCTCTTTCTCTCTCTCCCACTCCCTCTCTCTCTAAAATCAATAAACATATCCTCAGGTGGCAACTAGAGAAAAAAAAAGAAGAAGTACAAATTGGTAGTTACAAACCAGTCACAGGGATGTAAAGTCTAGCATAGGGAATGTGGTCAATAATATTGTAATGACATGTATGGTGTCAGGTGGCTGCTAGATTTACAGGGGGGACCTCTTCCTAGGTTGTGTAAATGTCTAATCCCTGTGTTGTACACCTGACACTAATATAACATTGGATGTCAACTGCAATAGAAACATAAAAAAAGAAATCACAGAAAAAGAATCACAGAATTGGAAAAGTTATGGATTTTACTCGTAAGGTAATTCAATACACGCGACCAGTTCATGAGGAAGCAGTGTCTTGGCCCAGGACGGGCTCAGATGTAGAATTAGAACCAGTATTTCCAACGTCTCCTTGCGAATTCATTGTGCCCTGTTCTTCCTTCTCCATCCTTTGGTCAGCTTTGTGTTCTAATCTCTCCAGCATGTAAGGAAAAAAGAGGAGGTATTTTCAGATATGACAGAAATTCATGGCCTCCCTTAAGGATTTCATGTATATAAGATTATAGGAAGCCCCGGCTGGTATAGCCCAGTTGGTAACATTGTCCCATAAACCAAAGAGTCACAGGTTCGATTCCTGGTCAGGGCACATGCCCGGGTTGTGGGTTTGATCCTGGGTCAGAGAGGCAGATTGCTGTTTGTCTCACACATTGATGCTTCTCTCCCCTTTTCTCCTCCTCCCTCCCCCTCTCCCTAGCATGTCCTCAGGTGAGGATTTAAAAAAAAAAAATTATAGGAATACTCTCCATACTATGGAATGAAACAAAACTCCCTGACAAGTCATTCCCCGCCTTTTCTCCCATATGCTTGTCCCCCCAGGTTGGCCTGCTGCTACCTCAGTGAAGATGTCTGGGGGAGCCTGCCTGAAGTTCTTCGGTGTAACCAGACCCTGATCCACCTAGACTTCAGCACAAACATCCTGAAACACGAAGACTTGAACCTTTTGTGCGAGGCCTTGATGCAGCCAGGCTGCCACCTGAAGTCACTATGGTAAATAAATGTCTTCGAGGTTTACTTGGAAGACCAAGCCTCCTTCTCAGGGGCTGGGGTTGCTGAGGAGGCACCTGGAACGGAGGAAGGCCATAGTGTCTGTGACCGAGAGGGGGAAGGTTGAAAATGACTTGGTGCAGATTCTTGTAAAGATGTTCAGGCGAACACACGTGTCTCTTGACTCTCGTCACAGATTTAATGCACGGTAAACGGTCCTTCATTGGTGTCTACATCAGGGCTGAGAGAGAGAAATTGTTACTGGGGCTGAAGGACTTTTTTTTTCATCCTTACCCAAGTATATATCCCTTCAGGAGAGAGAGACAGAGACAGAGATAGAGGGACATTGATGTGAGACAGAAAGATTGATCTGTTGGCCCCTGTACACCCTGACCAGGGATTAAACCCTCAACCTTTTGGTAATGAGGTGATGCTCCAACCAGCTGAGCTACCTGGCCAGGGCTAAGGGACAGTTTTATGATTAGGTGTTGGCCATGTATTCTACAAGATGTATAAGTTTCATCAGGTGGAAAAGGAGAGCTGAACTTTGAGGCAGAAGGGTTAAGCACAGGGATGGGGGACCTAATAAGATATGTGAGAATGAACAGGGATAAAGACAGGAATACTTGAGGAGGGAATAAGGGCATTAAGAGAGAAATGGGAAAGCAGAGAATGAAAAGACTTCATTTCATGGCTTGGGTTTGTTTTTTTTTAAAGATTTTATTAATTTATTATGAGAGAGAGAGGAAGAGAGAGAGAAAATGAGGGAGAGAAACATCAATGCGTGATTGCCTCTCGAGCGCCCCCTACTGGACACCTGGCCTGCAACCCAGGCATGTGCCCTGACTGAGAATCGTACCAGCGACCCTTTGGCTTGCAGACCTACACTCAGTCCACAGAGCCACATCAGCCAGGGCGTAGGAAGAAAAAAGATTTTAAGTAATGGCTAAAAGTGTAGTATAACTGATGAAGGACTCCAGTCTACAGGTTCAAGCATCCTTATCTGCCCCTGGTAGGATAAGCGATGAAGAATGCCAAACAGAAAGATGATAATCCACATCTGTGCTGGGGTGAGGGCTGGGAGCGGCCCAAACGCGGGGAAGACGGGCAGAAGCAGGTCAGCGCTCCGTGCCGGTGCAAACAACAAGGCCGAGCGGTGAGGTCGTCAGCGTGCTGGGGCGCGGCGGTCGACCTGGAATTTACAACCCACTGAAATAACCATGAATGAGGACAAAACAATTTTTAAAGTAACTAAACTTCCCAACATCAGGTAGCTCATCCCTCGAGGCAACTCTAACGAAGCTTCCCTCAGACAGACGTTGAGCAATTCCCAGTGGAAACGACGGTAGAGCAAGGGAAGTGGGAAACCTGTAGAAAAATCCAAGCCAAAGGTGGGCCGCGTAGCACAATACAGGGTGGGGCAAAGGAGGTTCACAGCTGTGAGTGGGTGGCACGCAGTTTATTCTCGTATTATTACTTATTAATTATTGCATTCCTTTCCATGTGGACAGCTGTAAACCTACTCTTTCCCCACCCTGTAATAACGTTTTTAGGAGTTAAAGGAAAAAAATTAAAAAGCACAACAGCAGTCACGTAAGTGTGCACGGACATCGTAAAATCCAGAAAGAAGGTAAAGGGGTTGCTTATTTGAAATGTTGGCAGGTTAAATACAAATATAGAAACTTCTACAATGAAATTAGGAGAAAAAAAAACCCCACAGAAATTATTGCTGACTCTCAATCAGCAGAGGAGAGATGAGAGAATGATAAAATACCTAATCAAAAGAAAGCAAGAAAGGCCCTGGCCAGGCAGCTCAGTTGGTTGGAGCATCATCCATACACCAAAAAGACTGCGGTTCAATCCCTGGTCAGGGCACACACCTAAGTTGCAGGTTCGATCCCCAGCCAGGCGAGTATGGGAGGCAACTTGATCAATGTTTCTCTCTCTCTTCCTCTCTAAAACAAACAAAAAAAAAACAAAACCAACAAAAAACCCACAGTAACCCTGGAGAGTGGTAACCCTACTGTTCTCTTGCAGTTTGGTAAACTGTTTCATAACTGCTGAGGGCTGCCGGGACCTCTCTTTGGTCTTCACCAGAAACCCAAGCCTGAGAAATCTGCAAATCGGTCGCAACAACATAGGAGACGATGGTGTGAGGCTGCTGTGCAAAGCTCTGGTCCATCCCACGTGTCACTTACAGATTCTCGGGTGGGTACCGCTTCAACGTCGCGGCTATGCCTTTGTGGGTGGTCAGAAACGGAGAACTGATGGGCAGTAAGAGAAAGGAAAACGAAAACCCCATCGGGGCATGGTATAGTTACTCCGAAACATAGCGTCCGCCGTCCACGAGCACCGAGGATGGCTGGCTGGCGCCGCTGCTCCGGGGCAGGCATAGCTGACCTCCAATGGGCGTAATCAGGAATCGGGGCGGAGGGGGGCAGCCAGGTGACTGGTTGGTTGACCTAGGGGGGCCTCCCTGTCAAGTCTGGCGGTTCCCTGGTTGTCTGTGAACCGAGAACGGCAGGGAGGGCTGGGCCGCATGTCTCCTGTCGACCTGGTTAGCCCGGCCTTGGCGACAGGCGCGACAGGCGCGACAGGCGCGCCATGGGATCTGTTTGCTCGGGCTGCCGTGACAAAGCAGCCTGCGCACCTTAAACAATAGAAACTTATCCTCTCGTGGTTCTGGAGGCCAGAAGCCCGAGATACAGGTGAGAGCGGGGCTGGTTGCTCCTGAGGCCTCTCTCCTTGGCGTGCAGAGGGCCGTCTCCCCCGCCCCCCACCACCTGTCCTCACATGGACATCCCTCTGCCGGTGTCTGTCCTCGATCCTCTTCTGATAAGGACACCAGTTCTACTGGACTAGAGACAAACCTAATGACCTCGTTTTCACTTAATTGCCTCTGTGGAGGCCCTGTCTGCAAAGGCATATTTCGAGGTGTTGGGGGTTAGGGCTTCGACCTGGGGCTTTTTGCAAGCACACAGTCAGTGTCTCTGGGATGCAGGAGAACAAGAAATATGCAAGGTAGAGGCTCAGAACTCCTCTAACCTTAACTCCACAGAGTCGTATTCGCCAGTGCAAGGCCCTGCCAGCCCAGATTCAGGGGCGGCCGGCAGACGCACCCCAAGTGGGGTGAGCTACGGAGTCCCGTTGCTACGGGCCTAGGTTCAGAGAGGAACAGGTGGGGGAGTGGCCGCTTGTACCTTCCACCCCGGAGCGGTAATCCGATGTCGCAAGCACCAGATGGTCAGAGGCAAGGGGGTGGGCCTGGGCCAAGCGCCCGCTCTCCTGCCACCACGGGCGCCTCCTGCCCCCAGGAGGGGCTGCTTCTCACTGAGCGTCTGTCTGTCTGTCTGTCTGTCTCTCTGTCGCAGGCTGGGAGCCTGCACGCTGACCAGCGCCTGCTGTGAGGACCTCGCCTCTGTGCTGATCGGCAGCAAGACTCTGAGAAGACTCACCCTGACAGGCAACGCCTTGGACCACAGAGGGGTGCTCGTGCTGTGTCGGGCGCTGAGACACCCCGAGTGCAGGCTGCAGACGCTGGGGTGAGCCGCGGCGGCGCCGCTGGGGGGCCGGGCCTGCGCTCCGGAGGGAGGGAGGGGGCCCCTGAGGAGCCTCCGCAGTCCGGTCTCCCAGTCTCAGGGTCGTTGCAGGAGTGAAAGACTTAAACCCCTTAGGGAGCAGTGACTGGTGGCCGGTGAGCGCCCCATAAAGGGTGGCACTGGTCCTATGACAATACAAATCGTAATACAATTGTAGAGCAAATTGTAATCAGTAATTATAGTGCAAATTATAATGCAATTATAGTGTCAATGATAATTATAGTAACTATAGTGCAAATTATAATACAATTATAGTATGAATTGTAATTATAGGAACTCTAGTACATATTATAATCATAGTGTATATAATTATGATCTATTTATATACATAAATTGTAATTATATTTAATATATTTGAATATGTGTGATTATAAACATAAATTATAATTACACATAATACATTTTATTTATATTAAACAGATGTTACATATTAAAATAAAATTTTAATTTAACAAATTGTATTTATAATTAAGTTACATGTAATTATATAATAAAATCTAATAAAATAATATATAATACACAAGATTTGTACTATAATTATAGGCTTATATATTTAAGTCTATAGTTATATAATCAAATATATAAGTATAATTTTATAGTTAAGTCTATAATTATATATAATAGTAATATAGATTATTCCTATAATTTTATCTGATGAGTATTATTTTACTAGATGATGATATAATGAATCCAAAGCATCTCTTTTTCTCATTTTTTTCCTACATTTCTTTTTTTTATGATTTTTTATTTTTTTTTTAAAAGAGAGGGGCAGGGAGGGAGAAAGAAAGGGAAACATCCATGCGTGGTTGCCGCTCGCACACCCGCTTCTAGGGACCAGGCCTGCAACCCAGGCATGTGCCCTGACTGGGATCGAACCAGCAACCCTTCGGCTCGCAGGCCGGCGCTCAGTCCACTGAGCCACACCAGCCAGGGCTTAGTTAATAGGATAAAATGACAGCATCAGTCAGTGAGCTTGCATCTCCCCTGTGCACCCTGCTCTGTGGACCACCTCGCAAACTGTGTTAACATGAACAGCTGAATGAAGACAGGTGCTTCACAGCAACAGTAAGATGAATGTATTTGGGGGTAGTTGCAAGTAAACAGCAACAAGAGACCCCGGAACCCACAGAAGAGCCAGGACACAAGGATCCTTAGCCCTGCTGTGCAGCTAAAAGCAACTGTAGAATGCCATGCACAAGGGCAGCGTCTCCAGGACCAAGTTGTCGTGGCTGGGTGACCCTAGGCCTCTGTGCCTTCATCGCAGAGCAGGTCAAAGCAGCACTTCATCAGGCGGTTCGGAGATTTTTGTGAGATATGGCTGCCAAACCCTCCGCAGAAGGCGGGACCAGGCCCTCGGAGAATGAAAACTATTTTATCTTTCTAAGAACAGAATTACCACAAGCCCTGCCCAGGAGTCTTGGTTGGAGCCTCATCCTGTACATGAGAAGGTTGCGGGTATGCTCCCTGGTCAGGGCACGTACGTAGGTTTTGGGTTCGATCCCCAGTCAGGGCACATACAGGAGGCAACTGATCAATGTTTCTCTCTTACATTAACGTTTCCCTTTCTCTCTCTGCCCCTTCCTCTAAAAAAAAAAAAAATAAAAAAAAAAAATAGAATTACTATTTTATGTTTCTAAAAATAAAAACAACTCAGTCTTGCTCCTGAGCTCCCCCTGACTTCCTGTCCCAAACCCAACGCTGAGGTGGAATCGGGCTTCCGATCACACAGCATGTTGGTTCGGTCCCGTGACGTGTTTTCTGGCCCCAGCGGGGAGAACCCAGTGCGAACAGCTCCTCCCATGTTTGGTGACACCACCCGGCAGCTTCATGTCGGCCCTGGCTGGAGCATTTACACCCCAGAAATGCATGGCTCTACCAACCAGAGCTTCCATGCCTGTGACAACCAAGGGTCCCACGTGCATCCACACACCATCCTGTCTTCACTCCTGGAAGCCACACCAGGCCCTCCTGGGCGTGCCCAGGGAAGAAAAGTGGGAGAAAGATGAGGTACAGAGAAGAAAAAAAAAAAGAGGTGTGCATTCACTTGAACCCCTTTTGTATTTTCCAGGCTAAAAAAGGCTGAATTTGATGAGGAAACTCAGAAACTTCTGACGGCCGAGGAAGAGAGAAATCCCTCCTTGGAAATCATAGATGAGTGACGGACAAGGAAGCCCAGGGCGGGGGGCAGGGGGCAGGTGGGGGGAGACCGGCTGGCAAGCAAGCTGGCCTTGCAATGCAAGAGCAGCCCTGACTTCTGCCCGCTCTGTGCCCAGGAACAGCGAATTCCTGACCCTGATTTTTTCTAGGACCCCAGTTGATAGATGTGTTTTATCGATGGTGTGTTTGTGTGGTTTTTATTAGCTTTGGGGATATGGGCAAGCCACAGAGAGACCTTCCAGATAAATGTCCCCTCCTGTCTCACAATGACACTTGAAACCCTGAATAAAGTTTTGGCTCTTAAAACATGTTGTAAAATCTTAAGCAGGGCTTGGTACGGGTGGACGCCCGGAGCACGCGTGTGCATACAGCCACGCAGACCCCTCTCCCAGGCGGCTCAGGGCTCTGAACACAGGTTGCTGCGTATTCTGCGCGTCTGACCAGTGGGTCAGCACCGGCTCTTTCTCTTCTGGGCCTTGTGACAGCCTTTTATTTTTTTCAAATAATTTCCACTTTCCAGTGCCAGTTGACATACTGTCATAATAGGGCATATAATATTTTATCATTAGATGACATATAATTATGTGCGTGTCTGACATATAATAATGTTATATTCATTTGAGGCGTACAGTAGTGTGGTGAGGCATCTCTACAATTGAGGAAGGGATCCCTCCTTTAAATCTACTGCCCAGCGGGTACCCTACATAGTTATTACAATATTACTGACTCTATTTCCTATACTGTTTTTGTAACTGGCACGTGGCATGATGGTATTTTTAAAAAGTCAGAAATGTGCGGACCACCCACTCCCTCCCTCCAAGAGTTCAGATGAGGATGAAGGTCCCTTGGACACCAGCCCTGTCTCCTTCCTCTCTCCCTGAACCCCACAAGCAGCCCCATCATGAGGTTCACGTATAGCCCCCCAATACTATCCCTATACTCCCACACTTGAACGTCTCCATCACCAGTGTAGCACTGAGGGTTTAATTACATAAGAGAGGCTGCACTAAATGCACGATTCTGCAAGTTTTTAAATACCTATCTGTATATTTATCTTTATGTATCGCTCTATCTAAACCTTTTGACCTGACACACAGAACGGCAGGATGTATTAAAGTACTTTGTTTGAATTATCTATTCCATCGTTGATAGGCTTTCATGTGTTTCTAATAATTGACATTATACGTAGCACTATAATGTGCAACTTTGCAAACCTCTTATCCAGGATTCTGAGCCATTCTAAGTCCAGGATCCTAACTACCTAGAGATGTAAGTGTAGCACATGCTCTTACAAACACAACTTAGAGAAGGATCAGGCTAACTCTATCTCTGGCTGCGTAGCTCCGGTGGCTAGAGCCTTGTCCCAGTACACCAAGGTTGCAAGTTCGATCCCTGGTCAGGGCACATACAATGAAGCAACCAACGAATGCATAAAAATAAATGGAAAAACAAATCAATGTTTCTCCCTTCCTCTTTCTCTCTACAATCAGTAACTTTTTTTAAATAACCTTAATGAGAAAGAGGCTAGTGGCATGAGGGATGCAGGTAACAGTGAGCTAAACTCTAACATGGTGAGAAATCAGCACACGGTGCATAAAATCTGTATAGCATGTCAGCCAGCAGAGCTGCTGGTATTGATGGACATGCAATGGAGAAAGGACTAAACCACCAGCTGAGCCAAAGATGGATCAGTCTTCACAGCAAACCTTCAAGTGTGAGTTCTCCTGTTGACGGGAAGGCTGTGTGGATCCCAAGAAGCCAGGTGCGCTCATCCACGCTGACATTCCCGGGCCAGGTGGAGTGCGCCGGTACTGGCCCCTGCCCTCCTGAGCCACGCTGGAGCGACGAAGAAGTGGCTTCGAAGTCATGTCTGAGCATCCTCAAAATGTTCTGGAATACTTTGATGTAACTGAGGGGCTCTATGACGCATTCAAAGAGGTTAGCCTAACAAAAATTTCCCAAAACAGGAAAACAGTGATCGAGAATTTGTGGGTCAGCAGGCGAACGCACAATACAATATACAGATGATGTAACAGAATTGTACACCTGACACATGTGATTTTATTAACCAGTGTGACCCCCCAAAACATTCAGTAAAAATTTAAAAAAAGGAAAAAAGAATACTCCTGTGTAAAATTTTAAAGAAACTGAAGAAATTTGGGGCCAGTCATGGATTTGGGGGTTCACAAAAGCAGGGTTTGTCAGATTATCAGAAACAACTATCCCATTTTAACAACTATAATCTAAAGTGAACGAGTGACATAGCAATTAACGCAGGTTCAAACCTTTGTGGGGGTTTTTTGTTGTTTTTAGTCTCTACCATGACACACTTTTCTAAATGTGCTCATCTACCTGCCTCCACGCGCTCTTCCATCTCGAGCCTACGAAGAACAGCAGAGGCGCAGGAGGAAGGGAATAACATGTTCATTTCAAGGACGATGGCTTTCACTTACGTCTAATAATGAGGGCACGTGAGCGGGCAGAGGGTAACAGCCCCCAGTGTGTGGGAAGGTCGTGCTGCCTCTCGGAAGGCACCTGGGATCTTACAACCAAAGACGTGCGTTCAAAGGCCAGGTATTTGATGTGCTCTCTCTCTGATCTGCTGCAAAGCATTTTTCTCTCAGTATCTGCGTTAAATTCAGGAAAGCAGGGATGTCTTTGATCCTACAGGGGGGCTTTGATGAAGATGGAGACACACCATGAAGATGTTTTATAAGCGATGTAATGCAAAATACATGAATATCCAACTGTGTCCAAAGAAGACTCCTAATAGCGTTGGCGTGTTGAGTCAAGAGTACAAGAAAGAATCTTGGTTTAGGCAAGGGAGAGAAAATTACAATTGAATAAGCTCCTGTTCCTCACATACAATTCCACGCATGGCTTCATAGAGTTCATGTTCTATTTTCAGGTGGGTAAAATATATTTTAGATGGCACCAGCCACAGACGCCTCAAAGTAGAAGCAGGAGCCATAGTTGGGTGTATCTGCGTATTAAGAATCGTTCCAGAGGTCCGTCTGGCTTATTTAATCACAGAACGATAATTATGGAATTATGATGACATCTGTTACCACTTCTCAATCCACAAGAAATGAAGCTTCAGGTTTCCTCAAAGTATTTTTATATCCTTTGCCTTATTGAAGCTTTGTAACACGCCCAAGAATTAAAAAAACATTACACGAAGAAAGACAAAAAAATACTTAAAGCTAACGTAGGCTCTTGGGGCCAAATATAGCATTAGATTAGGATCGTGGCAACTGGGTGTGTAACATGCTGCCTACAACACTCCGTGGGACAACAACAGAGGAGGCAGCCCGTTTGTCCCACGAACGGGGGACACCTGAGCGAAACGTGGGGGTAGGCCTCCCCGCGGCTGCGCTCCAAGAACCTCCCACGGGAAGGTGGCGGCCTCTCATCCGCGGGTCACCCCCACGTATCTTCTAGGCCATTCAGATCCCACTCGCACAGGATCCTCAGAACCCGCCCCTTCCCCTGCAGTTCCTGCAGCTTCCCCTTTACGAGGTTGTATAAGTCTTTTTCCAGCCTGCAAAAACAAACACAAAACAGAATAGAGAACTAGAGAAGATGATTGATGGTATTTCTTTTTAATCCTCTCCCTCGGATATGTTTATTGATTTGAAAGAAAGAAGAAGGGTGGGGGGGGGCCAAGAGAGAGAAATGTCGATCGCTCGCCTCCTGTACGTGCCCTGACCCGGGCTTGAACCTGCAATCTAGGCACAGTCTGTCCTGACCAGGGAACGAAGCTGCGACCTTTTGGTGCACAGGATGACGCTCGAACCCACTGAACCACCCGGCCAGGGCATTCCCGCCATTCCTACATGCTCTGCTGGCCAGCACCGGCCCTAGGCTGCTGAATTCAGGGTCAACCTGGCGTCTGCTTTAGATACCAGCCAACCCTCCCCCACGTCCCAGCAGGCGCCGTAGAAGTCAGTGGGGATTACCCGAGTGTCTGTAGTTTGCATGTTGGCTTTTTCAAGGACTTCCACAGCGTGTTGACGCCGGCGGGCCCCAAGGCATTTCCTAGGAGGTTCAGGGTAACCAGGCTTTTACTGCCTCCGAGAACCGAGGAGAGGTGCCGGCAGCAAGCGGAAGTCAGGCTGCACTTCTCCATCCTGGGGTGGGCGGGGAGAAAATGTTAAAGATGGTCCCCCAACCCTGAGAAATTAGAAATAAAAGTGAGGCGGGGTCCCGGGGGGAAACGCTACTAGAACAGACCGGCCAGCAGCACACGCCACACGCTTTCCAAATGCTTATGCGTGAGTCATTGAACCCACCCTAGGAAGGGAAGTGACCCCTCAAACCCCACCTGCCCGACAAACACGGATCACCTGCCCAAACAGGAGAGACACAATTTTAGCATAAAGTGCATGTGAGGGTGTTTTTTTCAAGGTTTTATTTATTTATTTATAGAGAGAGGAGAGGGAGAGAAACATGGGTGTGTGAGAGACACATGAATTGGTTGCCTCTCACACGCCCCTGACTGGGGACCTGGCCCGCAACCCAAGCCTGTGCCCTGGCTGGGACTCAATCCGGTGACCTGTCGGCTCTCAGGCCGGCGCTCAATCCACTGAGCCCCACCAGGCAGGGCGTTATTTCTAAATTCTGCCGCACAACATCTGGACATAGGATTGGCTAGCTACTGGGAACACAAGGCGAAAGGAAATGGGGCCTGTGTCTGCCTAACACAGCTGGGATTTCCACCCGAGTCCACAAAGAAAGGTGAGGTGAGTCTGTACGTGTGAGATTTAATGAATAAAATGTCCGGGCCGAAGCGGGTGGGGAGGACCCAGAGAGGGCTTCAGGGTGGAGATGCCATTCGATGGACAGGAATAGCATGATAGGAGGACAACCCGGGCCCCGGACAGGTAGCTGAGCGGGTTAGAGCCTCGCCCCGAGGCACCAAGGTTGCAGGTTCGATCCCGGGCAGGGCTCGTACAAGAATCAACCAATGAACGTACACATAAGTGAAACAACAAATCGACGTGTGTCTGTCTCTGTTTTTCTAAAAAAGGATTCAATAAAAAACAAACATTTGTCTTCCCCTTCAAGAATAAGGATTCACAGGGCAGGGGCATGTCCCCCCTCCCCCAGCACTTTCTATGCAAAAGGTACTGATTGAAAGAAAGAATAGCTACAAGCAAAGAGATTTTTAAAAGGAGAAGGTTGTCCTTCCCGCGTCTAACCCTGGTACCCCCACGTGACCGGAGAGTACCTGCCCCGACCCCAGAGCGAGGGGGGGTCCCCTGCGAAAGAACCGCGCCGACTCACCCGAGTGTGCTCAGCGCGCAGCCCGAGCGCGTCAGAGCCTGGCACAGACGCCGCCCTCCGGCATCCTGAACGCGGTTCCGCCCGATGTCCAGCACCTTCAGGCGGCGATTGCGCTCCAGCACGGCCGCCAGCGCCCGGCAGCCCTCCGCCCTGAAACTGCACTCGGACAAACTGCGGCGGGAGAATGTTATCAAAGGGGGAATGGTCCCCAGGCCTCGGGCTTTACCAGGCCCAGCCCCCTCAGCTTCTTTGAAGAAGAGAGACCCCTGAGTCGACTTCTCGTCCTGGCCCCGCAGCTGGGGCTCCATCTGTGCGTGTATGCGTGACACAGAGAGTCATCAGTGTGCGAGAGAGAAGGGAGAGACAGACAGAGAGAGAAAGAAGGAGGGAGGAAGAGAGACAGAGAGGCATTGATGTGAGAGAGAGGAGGGGGGGGGCAGGGAGAGGGTCCCTAAGGCGCCCTGACACAGACGTGTGTCAGCCTCCGAGCTCCGCAGCTGAGCTGACAAGACACACCAAAATCTCACGTACAGTGAGTTACTGTACCAACATGAGTTCACGATGAGGAATCTCGGTAAATACTTGGAGCGAGAACGAGAGAAGGGCAGGGTTGAGAAGGGGACAGGGGAGAGGAGAGACGCAGAGAAGAGAAGAGAGACAGAGGAGAGGAGACAGGGAGCAGAGAGGGACGAGACAGAGGTGTAGGGACAATGGATACAGAGAGGAAAAAAGGGACAGAGAAGAGACAGAGGAGACCGAGAGAGGCGCTAGGAGACAGGCCGATAGGAAAGACACATAGACAGACAGACAGAGGAGACAGAGAGGGACCGAGGGAGCAAGGAGGTGAGAGTGGACGTGATACCGAGAGGCGGGAGAAGGCAAAACAAGGCGAAATCCTTCCGCACCACAGGACAGTCTGACGCCCTGGGAACACCCACATGCTCCACACCGTCCAGGGCCAAGTCGAAGGGAGCGGCCAACCAGATAAACAGCTACGGAAATCAGACACAGCCCGCCTAGATTTCCAGGGTGAGTAAGGCCCAAACACGTCCGCAGGATAAACCTCCGTCGGGGGAAAAAAAGAGTCATCGGGTTTTAGCAAGAGGTTTATCACCTGTGCCTTCCCGTAAGTGTTCCAACACGGCTCGGCTCCATCTTACTTAGAGATACAAATACGTACAAACTTGCGTTTACAAATAAGAGGTATGGCCCCTGGGAGGGTCTCAAAATACCCCGAGGGATGGGCGTGGGGGAAGGTGGGGGGGGAGAGGAGAGTGGCCGTGAATCCGTAATTGTTGAAGTTGGATAATGGAGTAGATGACATGCGCTTCTCTGCTCTTGTCTAAGTTTCAATATTTCCATGAAAAAATAAAAAATAGGTAGAGCTACCATTTTTCTACCTCTCAAATGGAAGTGGTCAGGGAGGTTTAGGAACAGGGTCTGTGAAGGCGTGGCTGGTGGCGATGTTAGCGGAGGGCGGGGGGCATTGGGATTTGTCCTTAACAGTCGCCCCGTTTTCCCTGTACAGGTGCCACAATGCACCACACGCTCCCCTGGGCCAAGTCACTTCTGCACCGACAGGCAGCCAGGCACGGGCGAGGCCACCCGCTGACCGGCAGGGCGATAGGGTAACAGGGCGGCGGGACACTCACTCCAGGCTCTGCAGCAGGCAGTCGGGTCGGCGCAGCGCCTCGCACAGAAACCGCACCCCCTCGTCGCCCAGCTGGTTCTTCCTCAGGTTCAGGTGAGTCAGGCTCCGGTTCTGCCGGAGAGCGTCGGACAGGTGCCTGCAGCTGGGCACGCCGAGCTGGCAGCAGCAGAGCCTGCGGGTCGCGAGCCCCGGGGAGAGCAGCTCAGGAATGCGGTCCGCCCTGTGGGCGCCCAGACCCAGGCGGCCGGCCGCCTCCAGACTCAACGCGCTGGGTCCTGGCCCCCAACCCGGGGTGCGCCGAGCGCACTCTCGCTTCTCCTGGCCTGTTCCAGACTCCGACAGCAAGCCCGCTAAGAATGTGCCAGTCGTTACAGTCGGGGAAAAACAAAAATAAAAGAATGGTCAAACTGTACCAAGCTTCCGTTTAGCAAGATCATTAAATTGTAGAGATCCAGCCCTGGCTGGTGTGGCTCAGTGGACTGAGCACCAGCTTGCAAACCAAAGGGTCACCGGTTGGATTCCCAGTCAGGGCACGTGCCTGGGTTGTGAGCCAGGTCCCCAGGAGGGGGCGCCCAAGGGGCAACCGCACACCGATGTTTCCTTCTCTTCCTCCCTTCCCATCTCTAAAAATAATAATGAATAAAACCCTTTAAAATAAATTCTAAAGATCCAATATATAGCATTGTACCTATAGCTAACAATACTCTATTTATGCTTAAAATATGCTGAGTAGATCCTATAGTGTTACAATATTGCTGCTGCTACTACTAGTACTATTAATAATAATTTTTTTTAAAGGAGTAGAAGAAACGTTGGCAGGTCACGGGTATGATAAGGGTGAAGGTTTCCCAGGTGCACGCTTATCCCCAAACTCACTGTGTGATGTTAGTTCATAGCATATGCTTAACCTCTTATTACTATTCTGGTTCTTTGCGACCCAGTGTTAACCTTCCGCCTAGGCCAGCTCCCCGGTCTTTTGCCATAATCGCCCCTGTGGATGCGCCCCCCAGACCCTTGGGCCTTCCCCACACTTTTATACCCACCTGAACCATATCTGATGCCAGGAAACCCCAGTCCCCACGTGTGCCACACATGCGCCAAGCAGCAGGTGTGGCTAAAGGGTAAGATCTGTGTGTTCACACTCGGGTGGACTCACCCCTGCCCAGCGCTGCTCCCCCACCCCCACCCCCCCACCCCTGAGCTGTGTACACCACCTGCTCCCATAACACCTCCCCGTGGCCGAGGCCCAGGCATCTCCCACGCCTGTGTCCCGATCCGCCCTTCACCCGGCTGCCCAAGCCCATCGCCCGCCTGCAGCGGGCCTGGGGCTCCTTTCCCTTCAAAACCACTTCGAACCCATCGCCAAGGCGCCCTGGCTCCGGCTGCAGGATCCCCTGAAATCCTCCCGCCGCACCCGGCCGGCGCCCTCATCTCTTGCTCGAGTGGTTGTGCACCCACTTTGCGCCCCCCCCCCCCGTAGAGTCTGCCCAGCTCCCGCCCTCGGCTGACTTTTCAAACAAACAGGCCCCTTCACTCCCTGGGCATTTCCCAGGATGGCCCTGCCCCTCCAGTTTCATCTTCGCACGTTATCAACCCGGCTCACTTACATTCCTCCTGCCCTACTTGTCTTCTTGTTCCTCCTACCACATCCCAACCGGCAGCCCCTCTGGCTCCTTCTCCTGCCCCTCCCTCCCGTCTTCCCTTCCTCCAAGTCTCTGCTTCAACATCACCTGCTCAGAAAAGCTGGTGGGAGAACACCTCATTGGACCACCCACCCCGCCCCTCTTTGTGTATTCACTCTGTTTTCCTTCTTATCTTGATTTTTTTTGGGGGGGGGGTATCTCATCCATAAAACCACATCCCCCACCCAGGCAGGAAGCTTGTCTGTCCTACCGTCCCCCCAACTCTGGTGCCAGCTCTGCCTCGGGAGGCAGGCGCTCTGGTATCAGTTGACCGACACAATCAAAATTTCCCCGGGGTCCTTGCTAAAACGGAAATCCTTGGCACAACCCCCCCAGAAATCGAGTCGACACATCCGGGGTGCCGCTCAGAATCTGTGTCTTAAACAACAGCGCCCAGCCCGGTGCCGGGGAGTTTTCCCTGTTACCCACGGGCCCCAACGAAGGCGCCGCTGTTCTCCCGGACGCTCGCGCTGACGGAGGGTCGCTTTCAGAGACGCAGCCCAGAGGCACTTACGCCAGCCTCTCCAAGGCGCAGTCGGGCTGCCGCAGGGAGGCGCACAGCCACCGCACACCGTCGTCTTGCAGCGGATTGAATCCCAGGCTCAGCCGGGCTGTTCGCTGCGTGCTGGTGAGAACCGAGGCGAGCGCCTCCGAGCTGGCCGCCGACAGGTCGCATTTCTCCAGGCTGCGGAAGGGGCGGGCGCCGGGTGAGCCTCAGCAACCCCCACCCTCCCCGTTCCTTTCTCAAACTCCCAGTCCCTTTGGGCCACACAGCTGGGACCCAAACCTCGTGGGAAGATTAAATGGGGTAAAGAAAAAAAAAGCTTCAGCCCTGGCTGGTGTGGCTCAGCGGATTGAGCGCTGGCCTGCAAACTTAAAGGGTTGCGGGTTCGATTCCCAGGGCAGGGCACATGCCTGGGTTGCAGGCCAGGCCCCCAGCAGGGGGCGTGTGAGGTGCAACCACACACTGATGCTTCTCTCCCTTTTTCTCCCTCCCCTCCCTAAAAAATAAATAAATAAAATCTTTTTGGGGGGGAAAAAAAAAAGCTTCAAGGAGGAAAAGGTGGGTCAAGGTACAGTTTCTCAATCTTTGCCCTACGTAGCTTCAGGTCAGGAGCTTCAGGTCAGACCGTTCTTTCTTGTGGGAGGTCCCCCAGTGCATGGTAGGGTGTTGATTGTAACTGGTCTTTACCCACTACACGCCCGTAGCACGCTCCCCTCCCAACTGTATAACCCAAGTCTGTGTCTGGACACTGTCAAAGGTCTCCTGAGGGAGAAAATCATCCCCAGTCAAACACCACTGGGTTCGGGGGAGGCTGACAGAAGCCTCCGGGGTCACACCGAAGGGGCTGTGAGGCCCACAGTCATGCTGAAGGCAAATGTGGCCCAAACTCAGCCCTAAGGAGAGACGTAGGAAGAATAGAGACGAGAGGAATAGATGATAAGAACTAGGTCAACAGGATAGGTACATACAACAGGGGGACCCTCCACGGCTCCCCAAAACATACTCCCACCCTGTCGCTCAAACTTGCAAAGAAAACATTTGGATAAGGGGGGCGACTTACGAGAGCTCCTTCAGGGCACACTTGGGTACATCAAGGGGCTTCGGAAGGTTTTTCACCTCAATTCCAGACAGGTCATTGTCCCCCAGGCTGAGGAAACGCAGGCTGGAGTTCTTGCTGAGTTCCAGCCACAGGCGGTCACAGGCCGCGGACGTGAGGCCACACGATTCCAACCTGGCAGGGAGGCCCCGAGAGAGGCCCTCACTCCTGGGCAGAGCGGTCTTTGTATAGAGGACCCCTCACTGCATGACCATGAGCTCCTCTCGCCATCCCTGATCTCTCCCAGGGACCAGGCGATTTCCAGGTCAGTGCTGCGCAAAGTGTGATCCACGGTCCCGCACCACCTCCGAGCTGGCACCCCTGCCAAATCTCAGAGGTGTGTTCCTGGAATCTGAATTTTTAACAGCCCCATGTCCCCACCCAAAGATTCTGATATACATTAAAATTTGAGAATCACCACTCTACACCCATGTACATTTTTTCCCTCTGCTAATCCTCCTCCAGATCTGCTTGCTGCCATCCTGATTCCTGTTCTCGCAATGAATCTTCACCCCTGGGGGTGGTCCCGGCCGGAGACAGATCTGGGGAACCAAAGACTCACCACAGGTACTTGAGGTTGCACGCCGAGTGCCTCAAGGTTTTAAAAATCATCGTGGACACCGTAACTCCCAGGCGGTTTGAGCTCAAGTTCAGGTGGGTCAGCCGGCTGTTACCATGAAGGACCAGGACAAGTTCCTTCAGGACCGTGACAGGGGTTATTGATTTGCACCTGAGGGAGACAGGCAGAGAGAAAGCCAGCCTGGAGGCGGTGGTGGGGTGGAGACACGGTCTCCTCGTCTGGCGTCTCCATCATAAAGACACACACGCAGACTCTCGAGGACGGACAGATATAAGAGGAACCAACAATTTGATTTGGAGTCGTGGTACCAAAAGTTTGAAGAGGTCATCTAAAGACATGGCTTGGGGTGGGGGGGCGGGCGGGGGATGAAAATGCAATGCAGTGTAAGGTGATGTGCTGCGGAACCGTGCCCCTGAAACCTGCATGATTGAGTCAACCAGGGTCACCCGAATAAATTCAAAAATCAACATCAAATAGGCTCCCAAAAGAGTCACTAAGCTCAGTTGGATGTATAGAGTCAGGAGTCAATCAAGCTGCTCCCCTTTGCTAATTTGCCATGAAGAGGCCCTGGGACCACCTGCACTCCTAGAAAGGGGACCCCCTACATGAACCCTGAGAGGCCTGGGGGACAATAGGAGGCTAACTCTCTCCTGGGGGTGGGTTTAGCAGGGTGGGGGGAGTTAGATGGGAAGGGTAAAGGGAAAAAAGACTCATAGACACAGGCAACACTGGGGGGGCTGCCAGGGGGAACGGGGTGGGGGAGGCAGGAGGGTGTAAGGGGGGATAAAGGGTGATGGAAGGAGACAAGGACTCGAGGAGGTTAGCACCCAGTGCAATACACAGATGACGCATGATCGAACCGTACACCCGAAGCCTATACCATCTGATTAACCGATGTCAACCCAATAGCTTTAGGGAAAATTAATTAATCAATATAAGAAAAAGACCACCCTTTCAGCCTGCCTGCCATGTATTTGATCTACCTCCTTCAACACACTGAAGTTGGGGGGAAGTCATCATTGCGAGTCTTCTGTTGAACCAGCATGTGTCTGATCCTTCAGACCTTGAGGTATGAAGGGATGGTAGACGGAGAGTAGGAAAGAATTAGTTGGCCAGGGCTCCAGAGCATCCGACCAAAGGTCGTTACAAATTCACCCCTAAGCATTACTCCCCTGTGCCTCTCGTGCAAGATTATGCATGACAGATTCCCATTTTTTAAAATTTCTACCTACCCTGCCTAAGTAGAACTTTCACTGATACAGCACCTTTATTTTATTTTCCTGAGCACCTACCTTAGTTTCTGGCAAATAGATCCTTACTGCAGAAATTTTAAAAGTTGGGTGGTCCCGCTCGGGTATTCAACAAACTGGGAGGGTCTCACACTTACGTCAGTTTCTGGAGTTTGCACCTTGGGTTTCTCAGCTCGTAGCAGAGTGTTTTCATAGACAGAGCGCTCAGCTTGCTGTTACTCAGGTCCAGCTCACTCAGGTTCCCACTGTGGAACACGGAGCAGACGTCCCGCCACTGTTGTAGCTTAGAATTGACAAGCCTCATCCTTTATGAGGGAGAGAGAGAAGGCTGATGAGTAAACGAACCTCAACCTAGAATGAGGTCTCCAGGAGGCAAGAAAAAAAAGACCCCAACAAATGGTGTAGAGATTTGTTAGCATCTGCGTATGAAAATGTGTCACCCCCAAAAGCGTAGGTCTCAAAACACCCTATACATAATTCCCACACTTCTCGCTAATTCTGGCCAGAAGAAAGCAACCTCATAAGTGAAGTGAGGTAGTTCAAAGGCTTAATCCTTAAAGGTCCAGTGAAGCAGACCCCAGATGAATTCAGAACTCTGCCCCCTCGTATTATTTCATCTCTGTGCTCCAATTTTCCATCTCTGAAAGGTGATACCTTTTTTTTTTCTCTCAGATGAGATAAGGGAAGTAAAACAAAGAACATATTCTTAAAGTACCTGGAAGATATCAAGTTCCTACTTTACACCAACTCACAGCCCAGAATCATAGCATTGGTGAGAATAGTTGCTTCCAAACTTCTGTGTGTGTGTACATGCCTGTGCTTCATATGTTTAACATCCCGGGTCATTCTGATATACAGACAGAGTTACAAACCACAGAGAAAAAAATAGAAAGAAGCTGTGTTGTAGAGAAACAGGAAATGACCTTGATATCAGAAGACCTAGGATCACCTTTAGGAAAGGTGTGAAATTTCCTTAAGCCTCAGGGTAATCGTGCATCAAGTAAGGGATGATGATTTGAGGAAAGTCCTTACAATAAACGGGGTTAGACTTGGGAAAACACTCAGAGTAAGAGCACTTACATGATTCAACAATGACCATGACCTGAAGTCCCCTATTAAGGTTTTAGGGATTCCAAGACAGGACAAATGACAGCCAATGTATGTTGAACATTTCCTACTCTAGACAAAGCATCTTACTAATATATCAATCTGGGTGAACACAAAGGAATTTGTCTTCTTGAAACTTCGATTTGTTCAACCAAAATGGAAATGGTCCTTCTTGTAGGTCTGAGGGTTCAACAAGAAAGGATTTGAGAATACATGTAGCCGGCTCTGTCTCCGAGAAAAGTTTAGTAAACATCCCCGGGACCTGAAGTAATGAGTGGACAAGTCAGGTTTTCTTATCTAGATCGAAAGTCATTAGTGTCAAGGATGGGACAAGAGCACAGGAGAAGAACCCAAAGTAGCTGAAGCATTCCTGGGATTCTTCTTCCAGGAGAAGTCATTAGCGGAAGTCATTAGTATCAGGAATGGGACAAAGTTATGGGATAAGAATCCAAAGTCGATACAATAGTTCTGGAATTTTTCTCCGTCCAGGAGATAAAGGGGCAAACTCACCAGAACAAGCTTCAGAATTTAGTTGACTCCATCAGCCCCAGAGAAAAAAACAGAAAGAAGCCGTGTTGTAGAGAAACAGGAAATGACCTTGACATCGGAAGACCTAGCAAACTCCCACCCCAACTCACCCTCAAAGGAGAAACATCTAGCATTTGATGTACGATCTGGAGCTCACAGAGAGAACTGAGCACTAATCCAGGCTGAGCCACTCAATAACCACAAGGACGTGAGTAAAGGATGCTTTTATCCTTCCGTTTTCTCAGCCATGAATGGCAATAACAGCTCCTCCTCCATTCACCTGTTGACATCAGATGCAAGACAATGCAACAGCACAATGCCTGGCACCTAAATCTTCCATGTGCGGTGGCCAAGCTCTATCTGAAGATAGAAGCTCTACCTTCAACTCAATCAGTGAAAGGACCAGGGAACCCAACATGATACCTAAAGGAATATCTTCTCCTCGGGTAAAGCTGATGGACCATGTCTGACCAATTGTAACCGTGGATAACACAACTGCCGCAAAGGATCCCCAGTTTTTCATGGTAAAACTTGGGCAGAGCTGAGAGCACATGGGGAAAGAAATGACGGTGCATCACTCACCCTGGCGTTTCCCGTTTGACAGTCGACTCTGTTCGAGGGATGTGACAGCTGACAGAGAGCCTTAGCTTTCTTAACCTTTGACAATGCTTTAGACAATACGAAATAGCCTGGAATTGAAGATCCCCAAGATCCAGGTCTGCTTCAAGGACGTGGCTCAACATCTGCTTGACCACGGCCTCCTCCTGCATCTCGTACAAGCACTGGAAAAACAGAAGGCATTCAAAACTGCAGGAGATCACATCGGACGTGGATAGCTCTTCTGCCCATTTTAATAACTCATCCACCACCGTCGGACACATCTTAAAATGCAAAGTATCTTCCACTTCTCTTGCTAGGTCTCTATTCAAGAGACCGAAGAAAAAAAGAACCATCTGGTGCCAGTAGGAGTTTGTGTCCACGAAGGCATCGTTCAGGAGCACCTTCATCTCTTGATGCTTTGAGAGACCCCCGATGGCTCCTTCCGTTCCTCTCAGCACGTAGAACAGAGCCCCCCAAAACACCTGGAAGCTTTGGTGAGTGAAGGTGACACAGTCCTCACAGTCACTAGCCTTTCGAAGAATATTCAGCCTGAAGAGGCAATCGATCAGAGGCGCCTGCAGGTGCCGATGCTCAATGTCCTCTTTTGCAAACGTGAAGTTGGAAGACCACATCCCAGCGGCAGCCAGAGAGCAGAGGGCTCGCCACTGCTCCAACCAGCTCTGCTTTGACCAACTCACCTCCACTGTTTCAAACACGCTGGAGAAAAAACATGCATACAGACGGGCGGGGGTCTGAGCGTCCAGCTGGAAAGAGGGACATCTAGCCATCTGTCGCTTCAGGCTGGAGCACACCGTCCAGCACACGAGGGGAGCACAGCAGGAACAAGATAGAGCTTCGTGCTTTCTTATCCACTGCAAGATGTTCCTGGCTTTGTTTTGGTCCCCAAAGTATCTGAAGAAATACTCCTCCTGGTCTCCCTCTGTGAACCCTGGGATTCGTATAAACCACGGATTCAGCAACAGTTGTTTAAGTTCTTCGCTGCGACAGTCCCTGGTGGTGATCAGCAAGGTAGCAGAGGGAGCCAGCTCCTTCTTCAACAGGTGGAGTAGGATCCTGGCCACCGGGAGCTGCTGGTCCCAGTCTGGACATGGCAGGCTGCCGTCCAGGTCAGAGAGCATGGTCATTTCCTCAAAGCCATCGATGACAAACAAGAGCCTCTCCGAATGACTCATGAAGTATTCAACAGCAGCCGGAGAGTCAGGAGAGTCCCGAGAAAGCAGGCTGGCGAAGGTGGTGTCCCCGACCTCTCGGAGTTGCTGGCAGCTGACGTAGGAGACATAGGAGAAGTTGTGTTGGAAGAGTAAGCCCTCCGCCCAGTGCATCAGGACCTTCGTCGCCAGAGTGGTCTTCCCAACGCCCGCCGCACCATGCAGGACTACGGTCTTGGGCCGGGCTCCAGTCCTCTCGGGGTACAGGAGACGCCGAAGCTCTTCATGCTCCTGCTCCGTGACACTGCGGAGGTATATGTGGTCTTCTGGCCAAGGGACACGGTCCCACATGGCCAGTAGCTTCGCCTTCATCCTGTCTCGGTACGTCCCGGCGCGCGCTGAAAGCGAGAAGGGGGTCAGGACAGGGCAAGGCTAGGGAGACGGTTCAGCATTAAGAATCGTTCAGAAATGACATCGCCTTCAACGCGACAAACAAGAGTCTAACTTTCAGGAGCAGAGGTGGCGGTGGAAAGCGGCAAAAGGCAGCCTAAGTTAGTTTTACGACAGATACGCAAATATATGGAGAAAGCCTCGGACAACACGAGAGATACCTAATTAGAGTTTGAGGAAAACAGAACAGGCAATAGTGTGGGGATTGCTGGGGGGAGGAGGGTACTAGGGGACTAAAAGATAAGGTAAGAAAATACAATAAAGATTTTAAAAAAGAGAGGAAGACACAACAGAGAAGGAAGAATCACTGTCAAAGAGATAACAAGAATTTTTTTTAAAAAAGAAATTATGAGAGACCTCACAAGATTTTGTCCTTTAACGTTTATAACCATAAAATTTAAAAAATGATAACTATTAAAAAAAAGTATTTAAGAACAGAAGGAGACACATTTTTCAATTTAAATATAAAGGTCTCCTTTGGGGGTCAGGCCTGGAACCTAGTCTCCTGTGACATTTCAGAACATGAGGTGGAGGACCCCCAAAAGCTACCCCCGTGAAAAAGACAGGTCCCGTTCAATGGAAAAAATCGAAGTGGCATCAGATTTATCACCACGGGCCCTGGAGGACATTGGCCACCAGAGACGTTGGTCGGAAGCGCTTCTCAGCCTGGACCTGACCTAAATTATTCATCGAAGGGTTCGCTAGAGAAACTTCCCATAAGGCAAGCTCTCGAAAATCTTCTCTCACATTGACTTTTCTCAATAAATTATTGTAGAATGAGTTCCCTAAGACAGTGTGGAGACAGACAGACGGATGCGGAATCTATCAGATGGATAAAACTTCAGGAAAAATGACAAACGTGGACTCAGTAAAACGCTCCATCAGATTATCCGTCTGAGGTCATCGTCGGATAGCGTGCACACCTGATTGGTCTTCTGGGATCTCCGGTTCTTCTTGGGTTGGGACTTGGGGTGCCTGTGCCATCGCTGAAAGAAACAGTGACGAAGGGGCAGGAGGTGCCCCAGGCTGGAACGAGCAGGCGGTGATGGGTCTCTGACAAGCTTGGGATTGACTGGAGGAGCCACATCCCCCAAATCCATCAACGCAACCACTTTGGAAACCTGCTCCTTTGCAAAGCCCACGGCACATGTGAAACGCCTCCCTGCCTCTGGGACTTGGGTCCAGCCAGATCCCCGGGCCGGCTCTCCTGCCGGGGGGTCCGCTGGGCTCACTCCCTCACCTCCAAGCCTCAGCTCCAATCTCAGCTCCTCAGGGCCGAAGATCGCAGTCAACACAGGCCCAGGCCCCTGCTTCACACACCTGCGGCTCCCCCCACCCACCTTTCGCTCCCCCTTTTCCAGGCAGGTGTCACGCCCTAATATGCCACGTGACCTACTTATTGAGCCTGTCTTTACGCATCTATGACCAGCAATTTGGATCCACCCCATAAAAATCCAACAGCAACATCCTTGCTCCCATGAGAGTAGCTGCCCCCTCTGCCCCCTCTGCCCCTCCTTGCCCTGTGTTCCCACCCCATGTCTCCTTCCCCTTGGGTCCCCACCACGTTCCCAGCCCCCCGACCCCAGCCCCCATCCCTCCAACCCCAACTCACCATTCACCTCGGCTCTCAGATCCTCACAAAGTGAAATCAGATTCATGTTCTCAAAGATTCGGAGGGTCACGCCCCATCCCTGCCGCCCTGGGAAGTGCTCCTTCAGCAGACATAGCAGGTCAGCGGGGTCTGCAGCCTTCACGTCGGCCCAGGGGATCTTCTGGGAGCAGCCGGGCAGCCGCCGCAGGGACTGGAGGCCGAGTTTGAATTCCTCCAGCTGGCACCGGTCCAGGCCCCTCAGGTGGGACAGGAGCTTGTCCCAGGAGCCATCGCCCCCAGCCACACTCGTCACTGGGAAGCTCATCCTGCCAACACGCAGATTCCCAGCTTCCCCCGCAGGACAACCAGCAGCTGCAGGAAAGGAAGCAGGAAAGCATACCCTGACCCCACCTCCTCCCAAGTGGTCCAGGGCTGTCCAAGCTTTGGCACTGGGAGAAGAGGAGTTGTCTTGGGCCACACATGAAATACACAAACACGAATGAAAGCTGATAAGCAAAAAAAGAAAATAGAAAAAGTTTGAAGTAAGTTTATGATTTTGTGTTGGGTCACATTCATAGCCATCCTGAGCTGCATGTGGATGCAAACGAAAGAGTCGCTGTTCTATATTCCCAGTCAGGGCACACGCCTGGGTTGCAGGCCAGGCCCCCAGTAGGGGGCGCTTGAGAGGCGACCACACATGGATGTTTCTCTCCCTCTCTCCTTCCCGTCCCCTCTCTCTAAAAAATAAATAAATAAAATATTTTTTTAAAAAGAGAAGACTATTCTTCAAAAAATAAATAACAACAGAAATATGTAAATAAGTTAATACATTTTTTTTTTTTTTTTAATGCACCGGGAACACTTCATTAGGGAACCCTGAACCACAGCTCCTGTGACGGATTATGCGCCTGCCCTCCTCTTGTTACATTTTTGTCCGCCCACAAATGCATAACCTTAGGTTCCGTGAGTCTCTGTGTAAAGGCGCCTGAGTGCCCACACATAGTTGTCTTGTTAATGTTGAGCTCAGGACCAGCCGCGCTCGCCCTCGTGCCTGAAGGAGGTGTGCTTTCCCCACAAACCCGGACACGGCCTTTGCACACTGGAGACACCAGGCCCCACTTCCTGTGAAATGGGGACGCCACTCAAAACAAACCCAGAAACACACAAAACACGGCACGGAACAGACCCGCACGGAAGGACACACGCACGGAGAACAAGAGATGGAACAAGATGCCAACACCAGCTGGGGACGTGGGTCAGGCCACGGATTTCCCACCGCTCTACGCGTGGCCAAAAACGACGGAGAAAGCACCCAAGCAGTAATTTGGGGGGATACAAATACATTTTTAGCAAGTAGGTGAATTTGCAAATATGGAATCCGTGAAGAATGCGGGTCGACTGTAATTAGGGTTACGTGTCTCACTGAGGCTGAGAAGGGACCCTCCAGGGTACCACCCTGAGTCAAAGAAGGAACACGAGGAAAAATAATTCCGTGCACGAGAGGTAAGGGGTCCATCAGATTGAGCCCAGAGTGTGGAAAAAGGGTAACTGCCCTTAGCCAGGGACACAGTGGTTGCGGAAGCCCTGGAGGGAGAAAACACAGGAATGAAGAAATTCAGCCGAAAGGTTTTTGTTTTTGTTTTTAACTGTGAAATCTCCTGGGCCCAGGAGGCAGGAAGCTTCTAATGAGAGGAAGTGAGACAGGCTACAAATTCCTGCATCTGATGCAGACAAGGCCAGCAACTCCCAGCTCCTAACCCTGCCCCCGCCTCCTGGGAAACATCCTCGATTTCTCAGCTTCTGGAAGGTTGGCTGTTTCCGGCGCCTCCCAGAGATGGAGTCGTGCGGTGTTTTAAGGCTGGATAAAATTCCAGTGCGTGTGCATTTCACGATATAAAATTTCAGGTATGCAGAATAAATTACTTCTAGAGGTCTTCTCTACAGCAAAGTGCCCACCGTCAACAAACCTGTATTGTTGCCCAGGCCAGGTGGCTCAGTTGGTTGAAGCATCATCCCCTACCCCAAAATCAAACCTGCAAACCAAAGATTGCTGGTTCGATTCCCAGGCAGGGCACATGCCAAGGTTGTGGGTTCGATCCCCAGCTGGGGAGTATGGGAGACAACCAATCAATGGTTCTCTCTCTCTCTACCTCTTTCTCCCCTATCCTTCCTCTCTCCCTCTCTCTCTCTCTCTCTCTCTCTCTCTGAAATCAATAAACATATCCTCGGGTGAGGATTTTTTAAAAAAACTGTTTTGACATTTAAAATTTTGTTAAGAGGGTAGATACCATGTTAGGTGTTGTTATCACATGCACACCAAAAACAGACACAAAGAAACTTCTGGAGGCAATAGGTGTGCCTGCTACCTTGATTTTGGCGATGGTCCCACAGGCGAACGCCTGTGCATGAACTCCCCAAATTGCACACTTTACATATGGGCCATTTTTGTACATCTATAAAGCTGTTTTGAAAAAAAGGAAGAAAAGGGCCCTGGCTGGTGTGGCTCAGTGGATTGAGTGCCAGCCTGCAAACCAAATGGCCACCGGTTCAATTCCCAGTCAGGGCACGTGCCTGGGTTGCAGGCCAGGTCCCCTGTATGCGGAGAGGCAACCACACAGTGATGCTTCTCTCCTCTTTCTCCCTCCCTTCCCCTCTCTAAAAATAAATAAAAATATTTAAAAAAAAACAATAAATTTAAAAAAATAAAAAAGAAAGAAAAGAAAATGCGGGCCAGGTCCGAGACAGGGAGGGACACAAGGTTTGAGAAAGGTTTGGAGCAGAAGAGAAAGCAGACACCACTTACCAACCAGGCCTGGAATGCCCCGATGCAGGGGACCTGGGAGAAGAAGTCACCCCTACTCCCGCCCCAGCCTGTGACCAGCCCTCTGGCCGACCACAGCTTTCTCACAGGTGTGTCTGTGAGCGTCAGCTTGGTGGCTCCCTCCCCGCCCCCTGCGGAGAGATCTAAACTAACTCCTGATAGGTCGGAGGCCACCAGGACCCAGCCGCTGCCTAGCCGCTCCACCCCCTTCTCCTCAGGTGTAAATGGAGGCCTGCCCAGCTGGGGGCAGCAACGACTTTCCCAGGAAAACCCACACCATCCTGGTGCATGCGGAGTCCTCCCTCCCAGCGAAAAGCTGCTTCTGTGAGTACCTCTGCGAGCATCTGGGAGATCCCATACCACAGTGAAAGATGTGAGGAGGAGAGAGAGGAGGAGGCTTTAAGATCAGAGGCAGCAATACCACTGAATGAAAACTACCATTGAAAAATGAAATTGGCCCTGGCTGAATAGCTCATTTGGTTGGAGGATTGCCCCAATATGCCAAGGTTGAGGGTTCAATCCCCAGTCAGGACACATATGAGACTCATCCAATGAGTGCATCATTAAGTGGAACAACTATTCAATGTTTCTCTCTCTCTCTCTCTCTCTCAATTTAAAAAATAAAATTAAAAATAAATCAATAAAATGAAATCACAGAGGCAGCTCCGCGCATGACGCTCTCTTCTCCCAACTCCAGTAGCACAACCAGCAAAACCATTTATCACGGACATGAAGATTTTTCCCACTGAAGCTGTGCAGACTATTCTGAACGCCACCACTATAGGCAGCGAAGGTATTTGCCAACAACTTCCGCTACTTTAAATTTAAATGAGCCATTTTAAATGACAATTAGGAAGCCATCAGGAAAAGGTGTATGAATGAGAAAGGATGCATAAATCTTTTCAAGTTAGTGTTTTGAATTTCCTTAGATAAATACCCAGAAGTGGAATTGCTGGGTCATAAGATAGTTCTATTTTTAATTTTGGGGGGGACAACCTTCATTCTGTTTGCAGGGAATATAGTCCATAATATTGTAATAACTCTGTAGTGTCAGGTGGGTACTAAAATTACCAGAGGGATCATTTCATAAAGTATATGACTGTCTAACAACTATGCTGTACACCTGAAGCTAATAGAATATTGAATGTGAACTGTAAATAACCAATTAAAAAAAAGAATTAGGAAAAAAAATGAGTGGGAAAGGTGAGGGCTTTAAGAAGGACAAATTGCCAGGTATAAAAACAGTCACAGGGATGTGAGGTCCAGCACAGGGAATATAGTCAGTAATATCATAATTGTGTGTGGAGCCAGGTGGAGACTAGATTTATTGGGGGGGATCCCTTTGTACGTAAGGTATATAAATATCCACGGTAATCACTATGCTGTACACCTGAACTTAATACAACATTGTCTGCTAACTGTAATTGATTAATTTGCTGTTGTAAGTACAGTTCAGTCTCATTAGCCACGGTACTTGCGTTCTGTAAAGTCACCGGGAGCACTGAGTTCGCCAATACAGAATCATGGCTTCGATGAGAAACACAGGATTAGGTTCCTTCTCTTGACTCCTAATTAATTAATTGTTTAAGTAATTAAGAATTGGAAAGGAACAGGTAAAAACTGCATTTGCCTGTTGCATATTCCGACAAAAGAGGAAGAACGAACAGTAACAGTAACGGGCGCGCATGCTCGGCAGCGCCTCCTGCACAGTCGGTCTCCCTTTGACCTGGCCCGTGGCTTTGGGTCCCCCAGTTGGGTCCTGGTGACCCCGAAGCCCTCATTTTGCTCGGCAGAATTACATCCCAAGTCAGGGAGACTGCGCAGGTGAACAAGGTCATTCAGTAAATTGCTCTGGATGTTTCCAAATGGGACGCAGAGCGTCTGGACAGACTCCGGGGGTCCGGAGGACTTTCCAAACCCCGCACTTGGGGAAATTGCTTGTTTTGAACCTCAGAGGCAAGAGAAGTTTTCCTTCACCGATGGATCGATGGATCGATGGATCGGAAGCACCTGTAGGAACAGCCCAGGGCACCTCTGAGCCTCTGAGCCTCTGATGCTAAGCTCTCAAATCTATGCAAATCTATGCAAAGCAGGCCCAGCCCCCGCCAATGGGAAGGGGGTCCCTGAGCCAATAGATCAGAGCCGGGCAGGGCGGGCTGAGTGCTTTTTCTTTGTGCTTTGCCAAATGTTTTTGACAGGAAGGAGCCAGGAAGCCTAATTTTCTTCAGGGGTGAGTGGGGTTTTTTGTTTCTTTGTTTTGTTTTGTTTTGTTTTGTTTTCCTTTCTGACAGTTACAATGAACGACACTTGAGTTCACCAAGCGCCATTGGCCAGAGTCAAAAACGCAAAGGCTGGAAACTCACCTTCGGAAAGGACCAGCTCTGTTCCATTGATAAAAATCCTTACCAATCTCTGGAACCGGCCTTTCTGTCCCTGAGTGAAGACCTACGTCCGACCCCCCACCCACCCCACACACCTTTTTTTCTTCCAGGTCTCAGAGTTGTGACCGTCAGATCTAGCGAAATCCTTACACCTGAAAGAGATGCTACGGGTCTCCAGGTGTAAAGAGGTCTACGCTGGCCATCAGCAGATAAGATTTTAAAAGTCAGGATCGGTGTAGTCACAAAAGACAAAACAGTGAGGCAGTGGGTCGAGTAGGAAGCGGCCAGGATTCGGAAATGCTGGCTTTGATACCACCTGCCACGTTTCTCTTTTCAGTAAAGAAAATGATCGGCTCCTCTGCGTGGCTTATAGGTCAGGCCACATGATATGCCTCCAACTGCTGGTTTCTGCCCCTCACAGTTTGGGCTGAACTGAACCTACAGAAACCATGCTTTTTCTCCCATGTAAAAGGAAAGGAGGGGAAAAGGATCGATGTGACAGAATTCTTATGACAATTTAAGGTTCCACGAACCCTAGGGTGGTCTCAATTCTACCACTGACCCAGAGAGAGATTGTAGCTTTTTACCTTTTAAAAATGTTGATCCATTAGGACGGGTATTTTTTCTTTAATGGAAAATTACAAGTGTTGGCAACAAAACAAAACAAAACATAGAGAAGCAGTGCGCGGAGGGTCTGCCGGGGGCAGGATCTGGTCCTGGACTTGTCTTTGCTGGGAAGTGACTGGTTCCTGCTTCAGTCTCCCTCCTTGTTAATGATCCATTCAGATTGTCTATTTCTTCATGATTCAGTCTTTGTAGGTTGCTTGTTTCTAGGAATTGATCCATTTCTTCCCAATTTGCTGGTGACAATTGTTGACAATCGTCTCCCACGACCCTTTGTATTTCTGGGGTATCAACTGTCCTGCCTCCTCTTTAACTCCTGACTTTGTGTCCTCCCTCTCTTTTTCATAGTCTGGCTAAAGGTTTGTCAATTTTGTTTATCTTTTCAAAAACACCAGCCCTTAGTTTCATCAATCTTTTCTATTATCTGCCTTGTATCTATTTTATTGATTTCTGCTCTAATCTTTATTATGTCCTGCCTTCTGTTAACTTCCAACTTGGTTTGTTCTTCTTCTTGAGGTGTAAAGTTCGGTTGTTTTTTCGAGATCTCTTTTTTCTTCATATAGGCTATTTTTGGTTCAGACATCAAAAATGGCAGAATTCAAGAGGGAAGTGAAGGCTGAGTGCTTACTTAAGGAATGGCTGTCACTGCAGTGAGCTTATGATGGCCCAACACCACAGCAATGACTCAAAGGAGATAAAGCTTGGAGTCAGCGCCCCGTACATGATAACTAAAGGAAAGCATCCAGGAAGTTCTCAGATGATGGGAATGAGAATTAAAATGCAATCATTAAAAATGGCTCAGAGAAGCAACAGTATACATGTAGCAGGTTGACCAAGAAGAAAGCCCATCTGCTGTTAGGGACTTCATTCTTTTCTCCCTTCTTCTCCACATTCTACTCTTGTTCACAGTAAACATGGTAGAAGAAGACAAAGAAAGGTGGTACAGCAGAGGAGATGGACTGTGGGAATTAACACACCTTTGACTCCAGACACTTTTTAAAATAACCATGGAGTAAAAGTAAACCCTGAGTAACGTTTTCTACGATGTGCTAGGAACTGTCTTCAATGTCCTTGTGGATCTATCTCTGAGAATCCTCACAGCCCCATGAAGGGGCATGACAAGACCCAAGTATCAAAGATGAGAAAAGAGGCACAGGGGTGTTCTGTGATTAATGAATGAAGAGGTGTTACCTTGCTCATAAGTGGCATAGAGAATAAAAACTACAGACCTGGCCTGGTGGCTCAGTTGGTTGGAGCATTGTATCGTACACCAAAAGGTTGCAGGTTCGATCTCCAGTCAGGGCACATACAGGAGGCAACTGATCAATGTTCTCTCACATTGATATTCCTCTCTCTCCCTTCCTGTCTCTCTAAAAATCAGTAAACATACCCTCAGGTGAGGACTTTAAAAAGGGGAATGAGAGGGGGAGAGAGCTACAAAGTAGATGAGTCTCAATACTGAGCCCAAATGCTGGATAGGCCACCAAGCTTTTCCATAGGAAAGAGAATCTTTGAGCTCAGAAGGTAAAGAGAGTCCCAGGCACATGGTAGGCTCCCCAAGATATGGATTAAATAAATCTGTCCTCTTGGGTAGTGTTTTCATTTTCTTATAATTTCATGTCTCCCCAGGTCTCGTCCATTCTGTCTTCTGATTGGTCGTTTTTTATCAGTGGCGCCTGAGGTCCTTGGACTTGAGTGAAGATGAGTATGAATATGGATTCTGGTTCCACCACCACCACCACATCCTCCTCCTCTTCCCCATCTTTTATCTCATCCTTGATATCCTCGTCCTCCTTCTCCTCCCCTTTCAAAGACGGGGTCATGCTCTACATGCTCTACCTAAGCAAGGAGGAGCTGCAGAGGTTCAAGCAACTTCTAGTGGATGAGAACCCCAGACCTGGCTCTGTCCAGCTCACCTGGGACCAGGTGAGGACAGCCACGTGGGGGGAGGTGATTCATCTCTTGACAGAGTTCTTCCCTGGGCGACTAGCCTGGGATGTGACCCATGACATCTTCGCCAAGATGAACCAGATGCAACTGTGTCTTCGGGTGCAGATGGAACTACAAGGTGAGTGATTATGTGGGACGTTAATGGGGGTGGGCTTGGGGACAGAAGAACTAAATGATTCCCCGGCTGCCCGTTCTGGCCACTCGAACAAGGGAGCAAACAGTGGCGTGAGATGGCAACTCTGACCCCAAAAGGCAAAGACTACCCTATCTGCACATTTTTTAAAAACTTAACTCGATACCACTCCTACAAAATGAACACAGAGAAACAAAAACATGGAGAAGTTGGAGGTAAAATGGTAGGAAAGCTATGATGAAATCACCGAACAGGAAAAAGCTGGTGTGGCTATGGTGAAGTTGGCAGGCTAATATTTAAGGCAAGCAAATGAAAGACTAAAAAGGGCCATTTCGTAATGATAAAGGGGCTTAATTCCACAGGAGGGATTGAAATCGTAAACGTCTCTATCAATAACATATCTTCAAAATACAGAAAGCCAAACTCGACACACACACAAAGAAAATAGACTAAACCCGCAAATAGGGCTCAAGACATGAGCCCACCTCTTCCAATAACTGACGGTACTGAAGTTGTGAAACACTGGTAAGAATGGAGAAAACACAAACCACACAATTCAGGAACCTACACAGCAGGTGGCAAGGGCCCTTGCCTGTCTCCTGGGCCACCGTCATCCTGGAACGTGACTCGGCACCTAGCATGCCATAGGCGCACGGGTGTTGGATAAAGAGACAATCAGTGACCGGGAAGAAGGACTGGCTGTTGGTAAGGTCCCCCAGGTAGTCCTCTTGGATGAAGTGACACTAAGGTTGCGCTCTAACCAATGAGGAACAGAGACATGTGAGGAGGAGGAGGGGGCGTGGATGGAAAACAGAATCAGAAGCCAGGAAACCCTTATGCCTAAGACATCGATGTTTACTAGACCTTGAGGGGAAATAGGAAGAGTATACCGTACATGCAACTAGATGCATACAGATGCATATGCATATATTGATGTTTCTCTACATAGCTGGTGTTGAGAACTTGTGGATTCTCCTCCCCACTGGAAATGTGTTTGTAGGCTCAAATCAATACCCAGGGCGCTGTCAGAATCACAGACATGCACAGAGTGGTGAGAAATTCGCACAGGCACGTTCCCAGCTGAACGAGGTCTCACTCTTGCTTCGGCTCCCATCCTGGAAACAAGCGTCCATCCCATGGTCTGTTGGGCGTCACAGTGTGTGTGTGTGTGTGTGTGTGTGTGTGTGTGTGTGTGTGTGTGTGTGTGTGTGTGTGTTTCTCGTTAGCGGTATCACTGTTTCACGTGCCCCCCAAGCGTGGTGGTGAAGTGCTGTCTAGTGCCCTGATCTCAAGGGGGCAGTAAGGGACCCCACGGAGAAAATATGTGTTAGGTGAGCTGTGTTCAGCTCTGAGCCAGGAAAGTGAATGAATCTGCAATATGCATTGAATAAGGGATCTTTTTTTTTTTTTTCACCATGGAATTGTACACTTTAAGATTTATTTATTTATTTTTTTTAGAGAGCAGGGAAGGGAGGGAGGAAGAGAGGGAGAGAAACATCGATAGGTTGCCCCAACTGGGGACCTGACCTACAACGCAGGCACGTGCCCTGACTAGGAATCAAACCGGTGACCTTTCAGTTTGTGGGATGATGTCCAACCAACTGAGCCACACCGGTCAGGGCGAACAGGTATCTTTAAACAAAAACACACATGTGAGTATAAGTGAGACCATATGGCATTTGCTTTCTTTGACTTATCTCACTGAGCATGAGACCCTCTGGGTCCATCCGTGTTGTCACAAACAGTAAGAGTTCATTCTTTTTTATGGCCAACGAGTAGTCCATGGAATGTCAATGATAATTTAAAATTTTTAAAAATAAACCAAAGAGACAAAAACACACATAGCACATAGACTAAGGTTATGTATTAAAGGGTTTATGGAAATATTGTAACCAGAGGCTACAGGACCCAAACCCTGTATTTGTCCTGGAACAGTGGGTCTGTGTTCGTTAACTCAATGCTAACAATGATTTTTCTAGAACATGACGATGATGAATAACAAGAATCAATGGCTATTATATATAATTTATATATATATATAAGCACACATATAGATTTCTACACATACATGCACAGATATGGACATCCACACAGATATCAAAGTGTGTGTGTATTCTACATGTATGAGGGCCTGTGTCTGCATTTCATCCCTGGCGTCCGGCTGGGCGATAACTTTAATGGCCTCGAACACCTTCCTCAGTCCATCATGAAACAGCCCCATTTCCTCACTCTCTGACGTCATGATGAAGCCTAGCAAATTTTCTCCTCCCTGAACTAAAAGGTGAGATACTTGAACGGTGTGTCCACCCCTGTCCCGAAAGGGCCCACGTTGCTCTCCCATCTGTCAATCTTCTCATTCCCACGGGACAGACTCGTTCCTTGTCTGTTCCAGACATCCTACCTAACTTGGAGCCAGAGGCCTTGAACCCGAGAGGAACGCAAATGAACGTGGAGGCAGAAGAATCTGGTATGTACCGTGGTCAGGACAAACCCTCAAGGAGAAGGGGCTCTGGGCTGGGAAGAGAAACTCGGTTCCTCAGGCGAGGTGGATTGCAAATGAGTTCAGTGTCTCTCCCGTGAACCAGAACGTAAGAACAAGGAGTAGTTGAGGACTCACCTACCTGGGAAGCCCAGCCACCCCACCCGGCGGATGTAGGAGCTCAGACTACATCTTGGTGACCTTGTTTCTCTTGTCCTAGCTCCCTCTCTTCTAGTGGATTTAGTCCTGAGGGGTCCCTCCCCTTGTACAGTGACCCCCTTTGCCGCCAGCTGCTCTAAGCACAGGTGGTACCATCTTAGCAACACCAGGAGAAACAAGAGTGTCTCCAAGCGGACTCCGCTGAAGGAACTGAGGGCAGGAGCTCATCCACAGAGAAGGTCATGAAGCGCTCTGGTCGGCTGAGACGGGCCAGTGTGCGCGTGAGGCAGCTCGGGGGTAGGACCAGCCTCCACCCCGTGTCATGGGCCGGGGGCGGGAGAGTGTTCTCCAGAGGAAAATCAGGACCAGAATAGGCGTGGTGGGTAGGCAGGCAAATATGGCAGATATCTTTTCTCTCTTTTTTTTAATTTTTAAAAATATTTTATTTATTTATTTTAAGAGAGGGGAAGGGAAGGAGAAAGAGAGCAAGAGAATCACCGATGTGCGAGAGATACATCGATCAGTTGCCTCTCACACGCCCCCAACTCGGGGCCTGGCCTGCAACCTGGCATGTGCCCTGACTGGGAATCGAACGGGCGAATTTTCGGTTTGCAGGCCGGTGCTCAATCTACTGAGCCACACCAGCCAGGGCTCTTTTTTCTTTTTGAAGAAAAGAATAATTTATTTTGAAGACTTGATGATTTATTTACACAGCGTTCTTTCTTTATCCCCATCTTTCCAGTCAACTCTTTTTTAATGGCTAAACTTTGTTTTTTAATGTAACATGTTTCATTTTTCCGTTACCGTTGACATTCGATATTATATTAGCTTCCGGTGTGCAGTATAGTGATTGGACATTTACGTAACTTACAAAGTGACCCCCGATGTTTCTAGGACACACCTGATACCAGCCATAGTCATTACAATAGTATCGGCCGTATTCCCTGAGCTGCACTTTGCATCCCCCTGACTATTTTTGTAACTGGAAATCTGTGTTTCCGAATCCCTTCGCCTTTTTCATCCAGTCCCCCGCCCCCTCCCATCTGACAACTATCGGTCTCCTCTGTGTCTATGAGTTTGTTTATGTTTTGTTTGTTCATTTATACTACTCTTCAGATTCCACGTGTAAGTGAAATTGTATGGTACTTGTCTTTCTCTAACTGACTTATTTCACTGAACACAACACCCTCTAGGCCCGTCCGTGCTGTTATGAGTGGTAAGATTTCATTCTTTTTTATAGCTGAATAATATTCCATTGTATATATGTTCCGCATCTTCCTTATCCACTTGTCTATTGATGGGCACTCGGGTTGCTTCCATATCTTAGCAATTGTAAATAACGCCACAGTGAACATAGAGATACCCAGATCTTTTCTAGTGTTTTAAGCTTCTTCAGATAAATGCCCAGAAGGGGGATCACTGGACAATTCTATTTTTAATTTTTCAAAAAATTTTTCCATAGCAGCATTAACCCATCACTCCTTCCCCGACCCCTTCTAACCTGGACTCTCAAAAGCAGGATTCTAGAAAATACCCAAATTAGGTTAGCATGAAACTAGCCTTCCAATCAGACTGGCGAAGGGAACCATTTTAATCTGCGATGAGAACACACCGAACAGGATGTAGGATGGTCCGGTCTAACATTAGCCTAGTTCTCTTTCACTCCATCAACAAATCCTGGAGAGCCCTGGCTGGTGTGGCTCAGTGGACTGAGCACTGGCCTGTGAACCAGAGGGTTGCCGGTTCAAGACCCTGTAAGGCCACATGGTTGGGTTGTAGACCAAGTCCCCAGTGGGGGACACCCGAGGGACAACCACACGTTGATGTTTCTCTCCTTCTCTTTTCCCTTCCCTTCCCCTCTCTCTTAAATAAATAAATAATTTAAAAAAATACTGGAGAGTCTCTGGTTTTATTTATTTTTTTAATCCTCATTTGAGGATATGTTTATTGATTTGAGAGAGAGAGAAATATCTATCAGTTGCTTCTTACATGAGCGCCAGCCAAGGATCAAACCTGCAACCTAGGTGTGTGCCCTGTCTGGGGAAAGAACCCACACCTTCTGGGGCATGGGATAACACTCCAAACAAATGAGCCACCTGGCCAGGGCAAGAGCTGCTGGCTTTAACATGTGGGCTCAGCCAGAATCATAAATCCTACTTTAATATTAGAGACAGCATAGAGATTCTGTGACTTGCGCCGAGTCATAAAGCTAATGAGTTACTAGTTCTCGGACTTCTTGTAAGCTTCTTCCTACCCACTTGAGGGGATCCAGCTGGAGCCAGACGCCACTTTTAATTCGTGAAGCGTGCCGTTGAGGGCGTGGGGGAGAGAGGGAGAATCACAAGTTGAGATGAAGGTTTGTGACCGATCCTACCTGTCTCTTGCTGGCCTTCTCGTGTGCTAACAGATAAACAGTGCCCAGCCCCACAGGAAAGTTCTAGGCCACGAGATGTAAGTAGACTTCTCCTGAGGGTAAAAGTAGACAGGAGCTCTTAGCAGATCCCGTCTCCCCGTTATTCCTGCTTTCAGTTCAGGTGACATAGAGCTGAATTGGCGATCTTCCACCTGTAAGTTAAGAAATGTGGAGAACAGGCCAAAAGAATTGTGGTTCCGCTTGGCCCTGAGGCTGTGGACCCAACATACGAATGTCAACAGCTTTACACCCACTCACCCCCTTGTCTCACGTCAAAAGTCCTTGGCTGGTTTAAGTTGGCTTCCAGTTGACTTTTCTGCAACTTGTAGTTCTTGACTGAGCTCGGTTTTCCAGAAGAGTGTGCCATTTATGTAAGCGTCTGGTGGGGCTTGCTGTCAACTTTAAGGCTGATTTTCTGTCTTTTAATTTTTAACTTTTATTTATGGATTTTTAGAGAGAGGGAGAGAGAGAGAGAGAGAGATAAATTACTTGTGTCTCTTATTTATGCATTTGATGGTTGATTCTTGCATGTGCCCTGACCGGGAATCGAACCCGCAATCTCAGCCTAACTTTGCGTGATGCTCTAACCGGCTGAGCTACCCAGCCACGGCTGAGGCTCAGTTAGTTCTCACAATTAACCCTGATGGTATCGCCTGTATTTCTCCCCTCTTTACTAACCTAGATGAAATACAGAACTACCGACTACGCCTGACGTGTCAGTACCGCCCTGAGGGGAACAAGAGAACGTGGCCTGGGAACCAAGCGGACTTCTTCTACCAAGATATACCCGCCCACCAGAGGCTTTTACCGTGTCTGTTCCTTCCCAGGAGACCTCAAGGTCGACCGCCCAAGACCGTTGTCCTGCAGGGAGTCGCTGGGGTGGGAAAAACAAGCCTGGCCTACAAGGTGATGTCGGAGTGGGCGGGAAACACGTTCTACCGCCACAAGTTCCGCTATGCTTTCTATGTCCCCTGTGGTGATGTGGCCTGGGACACGGAGCAGAGCCTGTGTGAGCTGCTCTCACGCCAGTGGCCCGGGTCTCGGGCTCTCATGTCCAAGGTGATGTCCCAGCCAGAGCAACTGCTGCTGGTCCTGGACGGCTTCGAGGAGCTGACATGGACCCCCACGGACCCACCGGAGGACCTCAGTGAGGACTGGAGCCAGAAGCTGCCAGGGTCTGTCCTCCTGGCCAGCCTGCTGAGCAGAAAGATGCTCCCCGAGGCCACGCTGCTGCTCCTGCTGAGGCTGTCGTCCTGGCGGGTCACCAAGCCCTTTCTGAAGTCTCCCTCGGTCATAACGCTCATGGGGTTCACTGAGGTGGAGAAAGCCCGGTATTTCAGGACGTATTTCGGCAACAAGGAGCAGGCCGAGAGAGCCTTGCGTTTTGTCATGGGGAACCCCATCCTCTTCCCTATGTGCCAGGTGCCTGCCGTCTGCTGGCTGGTTTGCTCGCGCCTGAAAGAGCAGATGGAGCGCGGTGCCAACCTGGCCGTTGCGTTCCCCAACGCCACCGCCGTCTTCGCCCGGTACCTGTCCAGTGTGCTTCCCGGCCCGGCTGGAAGCCCCCTCTGTGGCCCTCGCCAGGAGCAGCTGGCCGGCGTCTGTAACCTGGCGGCAGAAGGCATGTGGAACAGGCGGTGGGTGTTCGGCAAGAAGGACCTCGAGCAGGCCAAGCTGGACGCGCCGGCCGTGGCCGCTCTCCTTGGGGCGAATATTCTCCGAAGGGTTGTCGGCGGGGAGGACCGCTACGCCTTTGCCCTCCTGAGCTTCCAGGAATTTTTTGCAGCCTTGTTGTACGTCCTCTGCTTTCCGCAAAGCCTCCCCGATTTCCAGGCGCTGGACCAGGCTCACGTGAAACGCCTGGTAGCGTACCCAGGGAGCAAGAGAAACCATCTCGCCCACATGGCTGTCTTTCTCTTCGGCCTCTTAAATGAGTCGTGCGCCCGGGCGGTGGAGCGGTCCTTTGGATGCCAGCTGTCCTTGGGGAATAAGAAGGAGGTACCGAAAGTGGCGGCCCTGTGGCGGGAATGCGGCCCACCCACCGTGCACCACGGGGTCCCTCACCTGTTCCACTGCCTGTATGAGATCCAGGAGCCGACTTTCCTCAGCCAGATCCTGCACGACTGCCAGAAAGCCACCCTGATCATCAGGAAGAATAAGGACTTGCAGGTGTCTGCCTTCTGCCTCAGGCACTGTCAGTGTCTGCGGGAGGTGGAACTGACCGTCACCCTGACCATCGCCAAGGCGGACAGTCGCCACCCCTGTGCACCTTCCTCCGCTGGGTGAGCGGTCCAGCCTCCCCGCCACGGGCTGCCTGACCTGGGTCCTTGCCTACCTGTCCCGGGCTTCTACGGTTGGGGCTACGGGAGGCCCTGATATTTCTGGAAAAATACAGGTGTCCTTACCTGAGGGCAGGAATCCTCCTGGAATGAAGTGAGAAATCTCGTAATGACTCTTCTGGGCTTTTATTTAAAAATTTGTTTGTTTGTTTCTTTGTTTATAAAGAGGGAAAAGGGGAAGAAAGAGAAGGAAAGAAAGATCAATGGGTGGTTGTCTCCCTCTGGTGCACCCCCTACTGGGGACCTGGCCCACAACCCAGGCGTGTGTCCTGACTGGGAATTGAACTGGCGACCCTTTGGTTTGCAGACCTACACTCAATACACTGAGCCACACCAGCCAGGGTATCTTCTGGTTATTTTTGTAATGAGGGGGTCTTTCTCACCAGAGTCATCGAGGATCTGTTCTCATTACCAGGGTAGGAACGGCCAGCCCCGGGTTTCCTGGCTGGTTTTCCCCAGTTTGCTCTCTAACCATGCGTCCTTTTCGATTGCCTCCCTTCCACACAGACCCGAAGGGAACAATCTGCGCTTTCACTGGTGGCAAGACCTCTGCTCCGTGTTTCGGACGCACGAGAGTTTGGAAGCCCTGGCTCTGACGAACAGTCTTATGGAGCCTGACACAGTGAGGGTGCTCTCTGCGGCGCTGAAGCACCCGCACTGTAAACTGCGGAAACTGATGTGAGTCTCAGCCGGCCGCTGGCCGTGTCCTCTGTCTGAGTAGCTCACTGAGCATAATACCCTCTAGCCCCACACGTGCTGTCGGAAAAGACACACAGTAAGTTTAGTTAATGTCCGTCGCCTCATGTTGTTTCCAAAGAAATGTTTCTGCTCTGGCTGGGAGGCCCAGTTGGTGGGAGCATTGTCCCATATACCTAAAGGTTGAGGGTTCGATCCCTAGTCAGCACATACCTAGGCTGTCGTTCAATCCCTGGTTGGAGTACGTGTGGGAGGCAACTGATCTCTCTCTCTCTTTCTCTCTCTCTCTCTCTCTTTCTCTTTCTCTCCCAAATCAATTTTTTAAATAACCATATCGTCAGGTGAGGATTTGAAAAAATGTGTCTTGTGACAAGAAGGTTCTTCTCTCTGAGCCACTTTCGAATATGCCATAGAACAGTGTTCACCAGTCACATCTTAAGGACTCACTTATCTTATGATGGGAAGTTGGTACCTGTTGACAATCTTCCCCCAGTTCCCCAGCTCCTGCCTCTGACAACCACAAATCTCACCTCTTTTTCTACGAGTTTTGCTTTTCTTTAGAGTCCACATATAAGCGAGATTATTTTTCCAAAGAGGACATACAGATACCCCATAGGTATGTAAAAAGATGCTCAACAGGTCACTAATCATCGGACCAATTAAACACAAATTAAAACCCTCAATGAGATTTCACACCTGTCAGAATGGCTACCATCAATAAATCCACGAACAGCAAGTGCTGACAAGGGTGTGGAGGAGAGAGGACCCTCATGCACGGTTGGTGGGGATGCAGGCTGGCGCAGCCACTGTGGAAAACACCAAAAGGTTGCAGGTTAGGGTTATGGTTGGGGTTGGGGTTGGGGTTAGGGCTATTTGTATTGCACACTTGAAAATTGCTGAGGAATGGTAACTGTGTGGCATGGTGGAGATCTTAGCTAACCCTACAATGGTCATCGCATTGCCATATAGAAATGTATCAAATCAACACATTACACACCTTAAATGTATACGCTGTTATATGTTGATGCTATCTCAGCCAAGATGGAGGAAGCAAAGAACTAAGGAGCCACTCGATGGAGGTGATGGTTTCACAGGGGCATACATTTGTCAAAACTTACCGTATTGGGTGCATTAAATACAGGACACATGCATTTTGGGTACATCCGTTATACCTGAATAACGCCATTTAGAAAGAACGAACTAACTGATGGTATCCTATTGTAACGAGTCACAGCTTACCTCTCCAGTCTTAGGCACATGCATCGCTCCCTGATGATTGAAGACTTAATTCTCGTTTTGATGGAGAACCAGTATCTGAACCACCTGGAAATACAAGGCACAGCAGTGCAAGGTGAGGCTGTGGAAGCTCTCGGCATGGCCTTGAAGTACCAGCAGTGTTTTCTGCAGTGTCTGAGGTAAGACTCCGGCCTGGACTGAGAGAACACCCGCCGCGCAGGTGGCCTTTTCCCAGGTGGGGGTCACACAGTCAGCCTGCAGGGAGTCTGTCTTTTCTTGCCCTTGTAAGGGGTCTTTATTTTTTAATTTGTCAATTACAGTTGACATTCAATAGTATTTAATATTGATAGAGGTCATCTTTCTCTTAATCCATGTCACTCGCCTTTAAAAATTTGTTTTTATTTACTGATTTTTAGAGCAAGAGAGAAGGGGGGCGGGGGGGAGAGAGAGAGAGAGAAGCATCAATTTGTTGTTCCATTTATTGATGCATTCATTGGTTGATTCTTGTACATCCCTTGACCAAGGATTGAACCCACAACCTTCGTGTATCAGGATGATGCTCTAACCAACTGAGCTACCTGGCCAGGGCTCTCCCTGTTTTTCGAGGCTTGCAACATGATCATTTAATGTACATATACTTTGTTACCTGACCCCCATGATCAAGCTCATAAACACACCCACCACCTCGCATGTTTCCCCGTTTCTGTGTGTGGTGAGAGCCCAAGAGCCACTCTCCCAGCAGATTCCTCATGAAGAATACCGTTAACTCTCGCCGCTGTGCTGCAGCTGAATGTCCAGGGCTGAATCGAGCCAGCTGTCGGCCGGTTAGAGGCCGCCCCCCGCGTGTGCTCTTTCCCACTGATAATCTGTGACTACGCTGAAGTTGGCGCCGGTTTCCCAGCTGGGGAACATGCAGGTGTCCCTGAGAGTCACCAGGGAGATGGATGGGGCTACGGAGGCACTGGTTTCCCCAGGAACTAAGCCTTGGTGTTTTTGTGCGGTCCCCCAGGTTGGAAGACTGCTCGGTCACCCCTAAAAGCTTGCGTAGCCTTGCCAGGAACCTCCGCAGCAACTTCCACCTGAAGACGCTCATGCTGAGCAATAGCTCCCTAGAGGACTCAGGGGCCTATTACCTGTCAGTGACCCACCTGGAGAGACTGTCGTAAGTCTCCTTCTGTCTGTCGTGGCTGCCGTTGGCTTGGTTGGAAGGACGAGTGCTTCTGGGACGAAGGCAGTGACGGGGGCGCGTGTGTGTCACGGAACAGACTTAGGTCTTGTGATCAAAATAACTGGAGAGATGGGTCAGTGGAGAGTTGAGCAGAGTCAGAGAGAGAATGTGTGCATAAAAGCACACGGTCACACCTAATACCGAGAATGGATTATAATGATCCAGGCGCGTCCGTTCTCCACTCTGCAGATAGACCCTCACCGGTGCGGTTCCCCCCCCACACGGGTTGCACGGATCACCGCCAGCCGCCACGAGCACCGTCTTCAGTTGGCTCGATCGGGCTCCTTACCCCTGTGTGCACACGGTGCTACTCCACGCGTGTCCCTGAACAGAGCGTCGCGTGGCTCTGCACGGCTTTGGACTTCACTTACGTGGCTTCATCTCCTATGTGTTCTTGCTCTGATCGCCTGACATGTTAGTGTCCGCCTGTGTCCAGTTGCACGTGTGACCCGTTCCTCGTCACTGCTCCGCGATGACATTTGTACAAACGTGCAGCACCACAGGTGTCTGTCCTGCACGCAGCGGAGGTGTGGGCTGCTCACACTCACGTGCATATTCACATACACACTCACACACACTCACATACATTCCCATGCTCACACAATCACACACAATGACATGCTGACACACAGCCGCGCGCTCACCCCCACAATCACACAATCAGGTCGACACCCTCACATTCGCGCGGTCGCGCTCGTCTAACACGTCACCGTCAGTGTTCTCGCTTCTGTTTCTGCTAACCTCTTGGGCAGAAAATGATGTCGCATTGTTTTTTATTTTATTATTATTAAAAATGTTTTTGTTAATTTTAGAGGGAGAGAGAAAGAACATTGATTTGTTGTTCCTCTTACTCACGCGATCGCTGGTTGGTTGCCGTAGGGGCCCGGCCGGGGGCGGGGCCCGCAGCTCGTGTATCCGGACGGCGCGCTTCCCAACGGAGCTACCCGGCCAGGGCTGTATTTTTTTTTTTAATATCAAAATATTGTTGTGTATTTTGGGTTACTATTTTAGTATGGGTTACGAAAAGTGGAACTACAGGGTCGGAAAGTAGACATTTTATTTTATTTTGGGGGGTGACACTCATTAATGAAATTACACAAGTTCCAGGTGCACAGCTCCACGACACACCGCCTGTACGCTGTGTTGTGTGATCGCCACCGCAAGTGAAGTCTCCTCCCTAATCATGTGTCTCCCCATTCCCTCCTCCACTTCCCCCACAGAGCGTACTGTTAAATTTACATATCTCTCCTGACTCATAAAAAATTTTTCATTACCCTACTGTTCATCTTAGACTCTAATACAAATGCCCGTGAATGCCCACTCCCATCTTCAATGCATCTTTGTCTATGTTGTATATACTGAGACGACGTCTCTTCCCAGGCCAGGTCCGTATCTGATACCCATTCCTCCCTCGCTGACCTCTGTCCTTTCCCTCTCGAGCCCACGGTATCCCAGTTTCCCTGGTGCACAGCCCCTTCAGGATGCTGTTCTCCTATCCAAGTGGCTGTCCTCTCCTTAAGGCCTGGGAGCCCTCAGAGGTGGTCCCAAAGGTACGACGCGGCTTTTGCATTTAGAAGGAAATCCCCACTGAGATTTCCATTGCGCAGGAGGGGAGAGAAAACCCAGTCGTGACCCTGGCCGGGTGGCTCAGGTGGCGAGAGCATTGCACACAGTCACACCTAATACCGAGGGATATGCCAAGGTCGCGAGTTGGATCCCCAGTCAGGACACACACAAGAAGCAACCAATGAATGCAGGAATAAATGGAACAACATATCGATGGTTCTCTCTCTCTTTCTCTCTTCCTCTTTCTCTCCCATTCCTCTCTCTCTCTTTCTTAAAAAAAAATCAATAAATAAAAATTTTAAATATACATTTTTTAAAAACCCAGTCACAGGTGGGCAGTGAGCTGCCTCCCCTCTGTGTGTCTCTGTCCCACAGGTTGGAGAACTGCGACCACACTCTGCTCCGCTATAACAGTCTCATCTGTCCTCTCGAGAACAGCCAGAGGCTGACCCACCTGAGCTTGGCGGGGAACGCCTTGAACGAGGAAGGGGCCATCGAACTTTGGGACGCCTTGCAACATGCCAAGTGTCCTCTACAGAGGCTGGTGTAAGTCCCCAAGTGTTGTCTTGTTAGTCCCGGGGATGTGAGGCCCAGCACAGGGAATATAGTCAATAATGTAATCACTGTGCACGGAGCCAGGCAGGTGCTTGACTTACCTGGGGTGGGGGGCACTTCGTAAGTGGTATAAATGTCTGACCACTAGGGCAGACCCCTGAACCTAATATAGTATTGCATGTTAACTGTCAATAAAAAAAAGTATTTTTTTTTAAAAAATGTATGCCCTGGCTGGGTGGCTCAGTTGGTTGGAGCGTCGTCCTGCACACCAAACGGTTACAGGTTCAAGTCCTGGTCAGGGCACATGCCTACATTGCGGGTTTGATCCCCAGTCAGGGTGCATACGGGAGGCTACTGAGCAATGTTTCCCTTTCACATTAATGTTTCTCTAGTCCTCTCTTTCTCTCTCTCCCCCCACTGCTCTCTCTTTCCCTTCTTTTCTCTCTCTAAAAATCAATAAACATATCGTCAAGTGAGGATTTTAAAAAAGAAACAAAGCACTGATAAGCGCCGCAATGTGCGTGAATCTTGAAAATATTTTGGTCCGTGAAAAAAGCCAGACACGAATCCGCACGGTATATGGTTCCATTGATATCAAGGGTTTGGAAGAGGCGAATCTGCCCCGCGGTAATGAACACCAACGTGCAGAGAGCTCTTCCGCATCCTGGCTTCGATCCTCTTGTTCAAATATCCGGAAAGCAGATGAGCTGTTGCTAGAGCCGGGGTGGGGTGGGAGAAAAAATTGAGAATGACGAAAATATCCCAACATTGTAAATGTTGTACGGCTCCTTGAAAGTCATAAAACCCAATGTTTGCACCCCTTAAATGGGTGCGTTGTATGGTGTGTTGATGAGACCCTGATAAAACTGTCATACCCAAAAAAAAAAAAAAAATGGCAAGAAAGATGTCACATCGAAGGGTGTGCTGGTCGGTTTTCCCCTTACGTGTTTTCTTCGCAGCCTGAGAAGTTGCGCCTTGACCCCTGGCTGCTGTCAGGATATGGCCTCGGCTCTTAGTCAGAATAAAACCCTGAGAAGCCTGGACCTTGGTCTCAACAGCCTGAAGGACGAGGGTGTCACCCTGCTGTGTGGGGCCCTGCTGGACGGTGGCGCTGGATTACAGGTTCTGGAGTGAGTGACCCCCGTTTCCTTCGCGAGGCCAGGACAAGGGGCCGTAACACGCTCTCGAGATAGAATCCGGGGGCGTCTGCGTGCGTTTCTGGGTGTCCCCTCCATTGGGTGGGCGGACCGGGGGGGGGCGCAGAACCGCCGTCCGCAAAGCGTGGTCCTCAGATGCGACACGCCGTCTGGGGCGGTGCCAGGAATGCAAGTTCCTGGCAGCGTTTGTCCTTCTGGGTCTGGTCACCCCCTGGGCGTGAGATCCTCAGGGTCACCCCACGCTGTCCCGAATGGCAGGGCCTCTTTTTTATGGCTGGGTACTAGTCCCCATGCTCTTTTGGAAATAATTCTTTAATTTTTCTACTCCGGTTGACATTTAATATTATCTCACTTACTGTCCGGAGGACAGCCTGGCAGTCAGACATTGATATCATTTACAAAGCGCTGCCCCCGACCTTTCCGGCCTGTACCAGACACAGTTATCACGACATTATCGACACCCTGTCCTATGCCGTGCTTGATACAGCCCCGTGGCTGTTCTGTAACTGCCAATTTGTGCTTCTCAGCCCCTTCCCCTTTATATCCAGGCCCCCGGCCCGCTCCTGTCTGGCAGCTTTCAATCTATGTTCTTTGCCTATTATTTTTTGTTTGTTTGTTTTGTTTGTTCGTGTATTTTGGTTCATTAGATTCCACGTATAAGTGAAATCATATGGTATTTGTCTTTCTCCGACTGACTCACGTCACGCAGCATAACGCCCTCTAGGTCCATCTGTGCTGCTGCAAATTGTAAGATTTCATTGCTTTTCTGGCTGAGTCACATTCCATCGGATACATGTACCCCAACTCCTTTGCCCACCTAATACCAATTTTTCTTGTCCCCGGATAAACCCATTTTGCAGAGACATATGTGGCTGTCTATTGCTTAAGAACAACAGGGTATATTTATTTGGTTTCCTGCCTCCTCCTCCCCAGCCCCCTGAACAACCGGGACTTCCAGGACACCCGGGACATTCTTACCTGTTGTCATCAAAGCCCAGGGCACAGCCCAGCCACATAGGTGCTGCCAAATAAATATTTCCTAAATGAGCCGTTACAGTCAAGGTTCCCTGTGGACCCCATTACAGACGTCCCCGTTTCCCCGCTTTGCCCACGTCCCCCAGCCCTCGCGCCCTTCCCGCCGGCCATCGCCACACTGTTGCCTGTGTCTGTGGGTCACACACACATGTCCTCTGCCTGATCCCTTCACCCTCCTTCATCCGGTCCCGCCTCCCCAGCCCCTTCAGCGGTCCGTCTGTTCCATGTGCCGTGTCTCTGGCTCTATTTTGTGCATCAGTTTACTCTGTTCATTAATTTTCACCTCTTTGAACGAGCTACGTGGCTTAAACTGTCTCAGAGTCAGGGGCTGCGGAGCTCCCTCTGGGCGACATGCCGGCGCCTGGCGGGGACTGAAAGCGTATTCCCCCTGGAGCGAGGTTTCTGGCTCAGCTCCTGGAGGGAGGGCGGGGGCGGGGGGGCGAGGGGGCTTTCCTGCCGTCTGTCTGTCCCGCAGGCTGGAGGGCTGCCTGCTCACCTCCGGTTGCTGCCAGGCTGTGAATTCCATGCTCCTGCGCCACCACAGTCTGAGGTACCTGGACGTGAGCAGGAACGACATCGGGCGCGGCGGCGTGCAGCTCCTGCGGGAGACCTTTCGGAAGTGGACGTGCGACACGAAGATCGTTCTGTAAGTCTCGGCAAGGTCCTGGACCTGAGATGCTGTTATAGGTGCTGCTACGGTTTTCCTCCCATTTCCTGGGGATTCATACTCTTCCTTCTGTGGCTGACTGAACCCAAGCTCCCACCTGTGTATCATGGAAAATTTTACCTGGATTTTCCCATCTGAACGATTTCTTTATAATCTAAAAGTGCACCTGCCCCGGCCCGTGTGGCTCAGTGGGTTGGAATGTCATCCCGTAAACCGAAAGGCTGTGGGTTTGATTCCCGGTCAGGGCACGTGCCTGAGCTTTGGGTTTGGTCCAGTTGGGTCACAGGCAAAAGGCAACTGATCAATGTTTCTCTCCCTCCTTCTCTCTCTCTCTTCCCCTCTCTCTAAAATCAATAAACATGTCCTTGGGGGAGAATTAAAAAAAAAAATTACCCTGGCTGGGGTGGCTCAGTGGATTGAGTGCCAGCCTGCGAACCAAAAGGTCACTGGTTCAATTCCCAGTCAGGGCACAGGCCTGGGTTGCAGACCAGCTCCCCAGTGGGGGGTGGGCAAGAGGCAACTGATACATGTTTCTCACACACTGATGTTTCCCTCTCTTTCTCCCTCCCTTCTCTCTCTAAATCAATAAAATTTTAAAAATAAAAATAAAGTAAAATAAAAAGGGAAAGTGCTCCTATATGGTACTTAGCACAGCACCTCACGGTTACAGCTACATCTGGAGCATTCGCTACCTGTTGCCCTGTAACAAATCGCTGCAGCACTTGGCCACTGGAGACCATACACATTCATCTTCTTATAAAGTTTCTGAGGGTCTGAGATACAGGAGGAGTTGTATTGGTTGGTCTTAGCTCCTGGCGTCTGTCCCAGCTGGGCTCAGGGAGGCTGTTCACTGGGGTTCACTGGGGACTGAAGGTCGCCCACGTGGCCGCTGGCGGAAGGCCCCAGTGCCCTTTATAGGGTGGTTCCCGACGTTGCTGCCGGCTTCCTCCCGAAAGAGGGGGGAGGCGAGGGAGAAGGAGAGCCCAAAACAGAGCCGGAGTCTTAAGCGATGGAGACACATGCTGTCACGTCTGCCCTGGTCTGTGGGTCAGTGAGGGAGGGGACCCCGTAAGAGTGCGTAGGAGCAGGGAAGGGACATTCGGGGGTGTCTGGGGGGGCTGCCCACCCCACCTCGCGAGTGGTGGAACTGAGGCACTTGGACTCCATCCTCAGCTCCTGAGAGCGTCCCCACGGGTCTTGCTGTGCGCGTGGGACAGGCCAGAGCGGTCTCCCGGGAGGGGCATTTCCATCAGAGATGCGGCCGCTTTTCTGGGACAGAAAAGAACCTGGCATTCGTGCTTCGCAGGGAGAGGAAACAGAGCTGCGGCGTGGATTTGATGGCCCGGCTGGAGGGCCCCGCCGTGGACGAGGCCGTCCTGAAGGTCGTCCAGGACTGGGACGCTGAGGGCTCCGCGGGGGCCGCGCAGACGGATTGACCCGGTGACCTGCCGCACCCCGTCCGTTTTATCCCTGATCGTAAACGGGGAAGCGGATGTGTGTTCTGTGGGCCACCCTGAGTCTGGGGTGGCTCGGTTGGTTCTGGAAAACGGTGTCGGGCGTGACCCCCGAATGGCTCCCTGGGAGGTGTGGAGGGAGGGTCTTGGGTTAGAGGGAGATAGGAGTCCCTGGACTGGAGACACCCTGTGAGGAGAATTCTCCCTTCCTGGTTCTGATGTCTTTGCATGTGTCCTATTAAAGTCGTCTCTGAGAAAAGTCTGCCTCGCCTACTAAAGCAGTGGGAAACTTTACTTAAAAACGTACATGAAGGCCATTTGAAAACTTTTTGAACGTCATTTATGCACCAGTAAACGCGTACAGAGACTGTTAGGAAGGGGGATGTTTCTGCCCTGGCTGGGTGGTTCGGTCCGGGGGAGCATTGGCCCACACACCACACAGAAAAAAGGTGGTAGGTTTGATTCCCCTTCGGGGCCCATCCCTAGGTTGTGAGTTCGATCCCCGGCCAGGGCACCTATGGAAGACAACGGATCGATGTCTCTCTCTCCCTCACTGCCTCTCTCTCGCAAATCAATAAACATATCCTTGGGTGAGGATTCAAATAGGACATTTCCCAGGAAGATAAGACAGCGTCAAGGACGGGATAGCCCCCGCTGTGTAGTTCTTACGTCCAGACTACTAAGAAAAGAAGAAAATTGACACCATACTTAATTAACAGCTGAAAGCCAATTTAATATGTGTTCATGGGAGGAATCAGACACGATGCTCAGATCATAGTGTGAGGTCCAGAGAGAACCAGGTACCTTTTTGGACTTTTTTAGATAAAGAAACAATAAATGCGTGAGAAGATGAATAGCTTTTACCAAAGAAAGTGACTGCTCGTTCGGAAGGCACCTGAGGGTATTGATTTGTGAGGACGGAATCAAACTGTGGGCCCGGCTGTTAGCAGGGTTCTTTTTAGGAGCCTCCCACTCGATTCCTTTCGTTCCCGTGATAAGGCTGTGGGTCAGGCGGCGGGAGCAGCGCTCAGGGGCCTGTCACATGGGGATTTATCTCCTGCTTTTAGGGGGACAAAGAGGTCGGGGTTTTCTTCTTGCACAGCAGCTTCTTGTTTTAATATCTACTTTTAAACTTTTCAATCGCAGTTTACATTTACTATTATTTTATAGGAGTTTCAGGCGCATAGCATGAAGGCTGCACGTTTATATAAGGTACGAAGTGACCAGCCCAGTACTTCCAGGACCCCCCGGGCACCGTGCACATTATTGCGGTATTATCGACTATATTTTTGTGTTGTACTTCACATCCCCGAGACTCTTTTGCGACAACCAATTTGCAATTCTTAACCCTTCCACCTCTGTCCCCCAGGGCCCTCCACGCTCCTCCCCTCTGGCGACAGCCTGTTCTCCAGATTATGAGTCTGTTTCTGTTCCGTGTGTTCATTTACTTTGTTCTTTAGATTCCACGCATCACTGAAACCGTATGGTAGCTGTCTTGTCCTGCCTGACTCATTTCCCTCAGCAGACTCCTCTGCAGGTACAAACAGCCTCTTCAATAATTTTAATTCAAAATAATCAACATGTTGCCGTGACATATGTTGGGAGGCCTGCCCTGGGCCCGGACACGCGCGAGTGATGCAAAAGAGAAACCACAATATTTAAAGAACCCTTAAAAAGAAAAAAAAGAAAGAGAAACAGGACTCGCCCTTTTATGTTTAACCCTTACCTGAGGACATGCATATCGACGTTAGAGAGAGGGCACGGGAGGGAGAGAAACATCAAAATATCAGTGGGCTGCCTCCTACACACGCCTGGACCAGGGACCAGGCCCAAAACACCAGCATGTGCCCTGACGCAGTAGCGAGCCTGCCACCTCCTGGTTTACAGGACAACCTCCACCCGACTGAGCCACACCAGCCAGGGCTGGGGTTTGTCTTTTTGAAAATGAGCTGAATCCTTTTTGGCCCCGCCCCTTCACCAAAAGGTAAAGGGATTAAGGAAAGAAAGAAAGAAAAAATAAAAACCTCATAGACAGACAACTGCGTGGTGATTATCAGAGGGAAAGGGGGGATAAACAGTGGCGGAAGGAGACCTGACTTGGGGTGGTGATCACACGCACAATATACAGATGGTGTGTTATAGGATTGCGCCCCTGAAACCTATATAATTTTATTAAGCAATGGCACCCCACTACATTGAATAAAATATAATTAAAGAAAACCTCGTTTTGAGACAGTCTGCTCTAAAGCATCAATTCAGCTGCGCAGAGGGTCCCCATGGTCTCTGGAAACTTGTTTGATATGAGGGAGATGAAAGGAAAGGTTGCATTTTATTATAAATTAATAAATGCTTATAAAAAGAACACAGAAACAAATAACATAAAAGATGAATTGCCCTTAGTCAATGCAACAGCCCCTCCCCAGAGGCAAATAGTTCATGGCCCCGCATGTTCCTTCCGGATATTCGCCTCTTTAATTCATAAGCATTGATATAAGTAGATTAAAAATAAATAAAAATATTGACGGTGGGAGGTTGGGGTGGGCAGGGCAGGGGAGAGTAACGGGGGGCAATGGGGACAACTCTAATTGAAGGATAAAAAAACGAAATCAAAACTAAAAGTAAAAATGAAGCCAATCCGTTACTAGCCTAAAACGGATCAGAGCAGGTCGCCTGGGCCGAGCGGCAGGCGGACCCGACCCAGGGCGGATCTGGAGAGCCGGGACCTGCCCTCCTCGCCTTCTCGCCTTCTCGTCTCCGCGGACAACGACTTCGAAAAGCCGCAGGAACGCGGGCGCGGGGGAGGGTCTCCACGACCCGGGCAGACCCTGAACCTTCTCAGGAGGAGAGGAAAGGAGCTGGGCCGGCCTTTGCCGCTCAGCGGCGGCGAAGGCAATCGCAGGGGTCCCTTTCCTTTCGCAGAGTCGTCTTTTCCACACAAAGGAACGATCAGGAACTACGGTGGGGTCTCAACTCGCCAACGCGGCTTTTGTTGCAAAAGTCAGAGTCGATGAGGGGCTCAACCCCACCCCAATCTTTTTCTTTAATCCTCACCTGAGGATACGTTTATTAATGTTTGAGAGAGGGAGAGTGAAACAGCCATCAGTTGCCTCCCGTGGGCACCCCAACCGGGGATCAAACCCGCAACCCAATTTTGTTGCGCGGGACGGCGCTCCAACCCACTCAACCGCCTGGGCAGGGCCTCTTACTCTTTCTTTCTTTCTTTCTTTTCTTTCTTTCTTTCTTTCTTTCTTTCTTTCTTTCTTTCTTTCTTTCTTTCTTTCTTTCTTTCTTCTTTCTTTTCTTTTTCTTTCTTTCTTTTCTTTCTTTGTTTCTTCCTTTTCTTTGTTTCTTTTCTTTTTCTTTCTTTTCTTTTCTTTCTTTCTTTCTCTCTTTCTTTGTTTCTTTCTCTCTTTCTTTCCTTCTTTCTTTCTCTTTCTCTCTTTCTTTCTTTTCTTCCCTTCTCTCTCTCTTTTTTAAGATTTCATTCATTTATTTTTCGTGAGAGGGAAGGGAGGGAGAAAGAGGAAGAGAAACCTCCATGCGTGGCTGCCTCTTGCGCGCCCCCTACTGGGGACCTGACGTGGCGCTCGACCCAGGCGTGTCCTCTGACGGGGAATCAAATCAGAGACTCTGGGTCGCAGGCCAGAACTCAATCCACTGAGATACACCAGCCAGGGCTTTTTTTCTTTCCAATTACGGTTGACATTCCATATTATTTTATAATAGGTTCAGGTGACACCTCCCCGACCCAATTCTTAAGGGGTAGACAGAAACAAGAGCCCACGCAAAGTCAAGCTCTGTCCCGGATTTGCTCCCGCTCCTTCTGCAGCAGCTGGAGCAGAGGGAGGGTCCCAGTGAGACTCGACCCCCCCGTCCCCCGCCCCCCGCCCCGGGAAAGAGCAGCTGCCCTCTTGGCCTCCGGGGCCCGCGTGCTCAGACGTGCGCCCTGCAGAGCCAGGCACCCACCTCCTGGCGGGCTCCCCCAAACAGCCCAGGAGACACCCCCTTTTCCTACAGCAATAGGAGAACATGCCTTGGGAAGACCAGGGCGGAGAGCAGGGCAGCGCGCCCGATCTTGTTGGCACAGCGGCAGAACAAGGGGACCTTTAAAAGCGCCCCCAGCCTCAGGCCTCCGGACGACGGGAAGGGGGTGGGGCGCACACCCCGGGGATTGGAAACGTTCCCCCAGGCGAGCCTGAGCGGCGCTGTGGCGTTTAGGAAGGATCAGTAGGAGGAGCTAGTGCTGCATTTCACAGCAGGTGTAAGTGCATCGAGTCTCTAGCTTCGGGCCACACAGCGTTGCCAATTCTGTTTCAGTGAAACCCGGGAACAACAATAAGATAAGGTAAGATGAGATGAGACAAAATAAGATAAAATAAAATACTGTGGGAGACCGCCAGCAAGGAGGAGACTGGAAGCACAAGGCAGCTGGCGTTTCTGCGCCCCAGGGGGACACGTTGGTGCGTTGGAGACTATTTACTGGATAACAAACAGAAGTGCCCGCTCCGAGGTCAAGGGGAGCTCAAGCAAGAGTTTCGTGGAGGAAGTGGAGGGAACAAAGGGCAGCCTTAGAGAGTGGCCAATAAACGCCAGGTGAAACCTCGGGGCAGGCAGCTGAAGGCGGTGCTCGCCCGGAGGCCGCGGCACAGGATGCCCAGCGCGGGGCGCGCAGGTGCGCCAAGCAGCTGCCCCTCGTCGCCGGGGCCTGGCCCTCCGGAGAGAGACAGCCAATGGCCGGCGTCGACGTCACCACCCGGGATTCCCCAAAAGCGCGGCTGCTGATTGGGACGTGACCCTGGAGGTGAGGAGCGGAGTGGGTGAGTATCGTCCCCAGCGCCTGTCTTTCTCTGTTACCGATTCAAACCGGCGCGCTGAGCCCTCGTCTGCGTCCCCTCCTCTCCGCCGAGACTAGTTGGAGCCCTGGGGCCAAGGACAGCCTTCGTCAGGAGGACACATCCCAGTTCCCGTACAATTCACGCTTG